TCAATTTGCCCGCACAGTGTTGCTGTCCGCGAAGCGGCTCATTTTTTCATAAAGGCCTCAGAACTGGCAAGGGTTTAGAGTTTAGGGCACGGGTTGAGGTTTTTACGGGTCAGGGCTCAAGATGTAGGTTCAGGGTTCAGGGAGGCGGGTTTAGGTCTTGAGGGTTTGGGAGAGTTCAGGTATGAGAGCTGATGATTGGGATATACGCCCTCAGCCTTAGCCACAAAATATGGGAGTTTCCGAAAATAGGGGGTACCTTATTTTGGGGTCCTTCTAATAATGATCCTATTATTTAGGGTGCTATATTCGGGTCCCCTATCTTCGGAAACTCCCATATAAGGGCCTGAACACTGACGTCTTCTAAAGTAAAAGCCAGAAAGTTGGAATATGATGATCCTAAACCCTTTATGGTAAATTATAAGGTATCCTACCCTGAAACCATATTCCGACTTTCTGGAGTTCCCTTTAAATGTATTGACACCTCGAAAGCTTTACGGATGTTTGCAGCTTCAGGGTTTAGGGACTGCAGGATGGTGACCCGAACCTTAAACCCTAAACCCTAAACACCAAACCCTAACCCTTAAACCCTAAACCCAAAGCCTAAACCCTAAACACCAAACCCTAACCCCTAAACCCTAAAACCCGAACCCTAAACCCTAAACCCTAAACACCAAACCCTAACCCCTAAACCCTAAACCCTAAACACCAAACCCAAACCCAAAAAACCCTGAACTCTACACCCTAAACCCTGACCTTAAACCTCAATTAGAAACGGTACTGCCTCGGTGTCTTCGGCTGCCAAAATCGAAGGACACTCGACCCTCCACCCAAACCCTGCTACTTCCTCAATCTCAACATCGTCGGTGGGGTCTAAAGCTTCGGGCTGGGTTTAGGGAAACTCCCAAAGCTAAGCCCTAAATCCTAAACCCTGACATCTTAAGCCTATCCTCCACCCCAAACCCCAGCACGTATATCCCTCATCCCCGTAACCTCAATCTCTAGAGCCAGAAACCCAGCACCTCCCGAGTCCATCCAGCTTAAGCATTATGGGTATGGTCGCGTATGCTGGCTCCGTACGCTTAGGGCACAAATCGAGTTCTCTACGTGTCCGACATGGGGGTATCCGCATTCTAGAGCGCAAACCCTAAACCCCCGAACCCTCAGCGCCGAAGCCCTAATCCCTCAATGCCGAACCCCTACATGCTAATCCCCTAAACCCTATAAACCATTTAAAGCGCAAGCCCTTTTACCCTGGGGATCAAAATACCCCAGCAACCTTATATAGTATGGTCTTTGGGGCCAAAAGCCTTAATCAAATGAGTCCTTAGAGCCCTAGGGTTAGTTAGTCATAGCCATAGTCATACTGTTGATGATATACATCCTGCATTACCTTAGGGACCCTAAACTATGGGAACTATGGTATATTCCTTACTAATTACTATTGGCCATGCAGGATTTATATCAACCCTAAACCCTAAGCCAAAACCCTAAACCCTAAATCGTTAGCCAGAGGCGCCGAACATAATGCCTGTGTTCAGGCTGACCTTTATGAGCTCGCAAGGAAGGCCATGGTAGTGACCTGGAGTCTCTTGTAGGAGTGCACCATGGTTGGGATAGGATTAAAAAATTAAATTTACATGTTTATTCCTTATTGGGCTTAAGTACCTATGAAAAATGTAGAATGTTACCCAACTATGACCTGGAGTCTCTTCCCAAGAAGCCCTAGGTACTGTTATGGGGGATACTTCCCCAAATCATTTTCTGGGTATTCCTAATATAGAAACCCTACATTCTACTATATAGGCACTTTGGACCCTTAGGGCTTGTAGGAGTGCACCAGACCCAAAGGGTCCAAGTATGATTATGGTATATACTTATGGGGTATTTTGCGGGGGTCTAAGTATATGCCGTAATGATACTTGGACCCTTTGCTCTCTCCTTCCATAACCGGGCCGAAAAAAGTTTAAACTTTCTAAGATAGACCAAATGTATAAGGCTAAAAAGTTTGAAGTTCCCCCATTGGCTATCTAAGTCTAGACCCAAGAGTAACCAAGGAAAAATAAGGGTGCCCTTTTTGGGTTATAGGGGCTTTTAAGGGAACCTGAACCCTCAAAAAGGGAATAAGGGCCTACTCTGGGTCCTAGAAGTTTGAGAGAGGCTCTAGGGCTGACTTTATGGTTTAAAGGGAACTCCAGAAAGTTGGAATACGGATTAATGGTAGGTTTAGGGTTTAGGGTTTAGGGTTTAGGGTTTAGGGTTTAGGGTTTAGGGATCCCCTATAATTTACCTTAAAGGGGATACGATCATGATATTCCAGCTTTCTGGCTTCTACTGTAGCGGGTTTAAGAGTCTAGGTTCCTGCGTACTGTATCCGCTGTAGCCCCTCAGTAATAAGGGTACCCTTCTCCTAATATTGCTATTTTCATAAGGAGACCCCGGAATAAATAGTGCAAAAAGGGTAGTGCCCAGGAACCTAGGAGCTTAGGTTTTAGGGTTGCGGATTCCCTAAACCCTGAACCCTAAAACCCTAAACCGGTTTTAGGGTTGCGGATTTGGGGGTGGTAGAGTTTGGGGTCATGGAGGATGACCTGGAGCTTGGATGTTGTTTCAATGCGAGTGAGTCTAGGGGGATCTTAGGGTTTACGGTTTAGGGTCGGGGTTTAGGTTTACGGCTTCTTTGTAAGATCTTGCAAGCCTGTGAAATAGAAGCCTCAACGACCGAACTGGGTTTTGGGGGCTGTATACTACAGATACATCACGGAGTATGAAGGAAGAGCCTGGCGTTCGGGCCTTGGCGAGTTGGGGGTCTTGGGATTGAGGTTTGGCCTTCTGTGCTGTGGAACCAAGAAGACAACTGGCCAGGAGCTGGACTTCGGTATGTAAGGCACCTGAAGGCTACAAAATCCAAAACATCCACAGCCCTATTAAACCCTGAACCCTTTAGAATCTGAGAACCCTTTAAACCCTGAGCCCTAAACCCTGTAAACCTTGAACCTTAAACTCTTTCAACCCTCAACCCTACAACCTAAGCCCACCAATGGCTTGTAGCATTGTAGCTCGGCCACAAGCAAGCTACCAGCTCGCGGTTCAGGGTTTTAGGGTCGGTTTAGGGTTTAGGGAGTTTAGGCTGTAGGGCTTGAGTCTGGCTCGGAGAAATGAACAAGCTTTGAAAGCTAGCAGCAATGGGGGAGACTGCTTCCTTTATGGCCCTGTTGCTCGTAGGCGATAGTTTATTCGACTGGCTTGTGTCGCGCGTCCTACCATGGTGACGAGCTGCACCCATTGTAGGTGGACGGCCTATGCCTTGAGTTTCGGGTTTAGAGTTTAGCATGCCAGTAGTACCCCCTCACCAGTATTGCTGTTGTTCGGTCTGACACTGCGACGTCTACTAGATACTATTGTTATGTGTGCTGTCGTGCCCCCAGTTAAAATAGAAGAATCGGCGCCGCAACAGCACCAGCACCAGCACCACCAGCACTGCCATGCAAGATAGTAATCACACAAACAACAGTATTACCAAAACTGAGTACTACTGCAATGAAGAAATACTTAAAAACTAAAGTTCATGAGGATAACGGTAATAACACCATTGGGAATAATAATACTAACGATGAGAATAGTAATAGCAATGATGAAAACGGCAATATTAGAAGCACACATACCCATAATGAAGTATCTAACATACCACCTGCCCTCAAGCAGCGAGTCAGATACTGCCATGCCAGAAAAACACCTCGGTCACATGTCACGTCCGCATGGGCGTAGGAGTTCGGGGGTTCAAGGGCTTAATGCTTCCCTAAACCCTAAACCCTAAACCCTAAACCCCTAAACCCTAAACCCTAAACCCTAAACCCCTAAAACCCTAAACCCCTAAACCCCTAAACCCCTAAAACCCTAAACCCCTAAACCCCTAAACCCCTAAACCCCTAAACCCCTAAACCCCTAAACCCCTAAACCCTAAACCCCTAAACCCTAAACCCCTAAACCCTAAACCCTAAACCCTAAACCCCTTAGGAGTTTGGAGTTTGGGGTTTTAGGAGTTTGGGCCCAAGGGTCCCAGGTGTGTGGAAGTACTTCGGGTTTAAGACACTAGAAACGGTTTAGGGTTTAGGGGTTTAGGGGTTGGGGGTTTAGGGTTTACGGTTTAGGGTCTAGGGGTTCAGGGTTTAGGGTTTAGGGGTTTAGGGTTTAGGGTTTAGGGTTTAGGGTTTTAGGGTTTAGGGTTTAGGGTTTAGGGTTTAGGGTTTAGGGTTTAGTAGGTGAGAATTTCGGTGAGATAGAAGGGGGGCTGCTAGGCTTGCAGCAGGAGTTTGTTTGAGCTTGTTAGCTGGGTGTTGCTATGGGTAACAACCTGCTTCACCGGAGACACTGTCAAGGCAACCTACCTCAGTATGTAGGGCCATCATGTGACGCCCCCATGTTCAATCCTATATCCTTGCTTCACATTAGGGCCTTGTCCTCCCCGGTTTGGTTTCGACGTGCTTTAGGGCGAATACAAGGGCCTATCATCACCGCCCAGCACATTCACCACAATCACCGTCAGCATCTCAACGACCACTATCCTTCACAAGCACCATCACCATCGTCGTCCTCAACATCTTCTCTGTCATCAACCTAATTGGCAAAGGCGAAGAAGCCATGAAACAATCGCTTAAACTGGAATCGTACTATGTGAAGCATGTGCTATTCGGAATCCCAAGTACGACTTTGATGGCAAGGCCCGTACAACATCAACACCATGGAAACTCATAAGCATTGGAGTAGTTCGCATCAATGTCCAAAATCGTAGTATCGTCCTTGTTACCAAAAGACAGACACCATGGCATGGCTGCCGCCCCCAGCACCACCAACAACAACAACAACCCCACCAACTACCAACCACCACCCACCTCCCACCTCGCCAACCACCCTCACCCTTACCCCCGCCCCCACCCCCACCCCCACCACCCCCGCCACCCCCAGCACCACCACCACCACCACCAACACCACCACCACCACCACTACAGCACTACCAGCACCACCCGCGCAAGAACCGTCAGAACAACCATGACCATCATCTTCTCCTCACCATCATCACCACCGCACTCACCATCCGAATAGACGTGGTCAACTTTTGTTCCCTGCGTAGCTGTTGGTTTCATTCTTGCTTCTTTATGTTTGTAACAAACAGCTGTTGTGGTCGCCGTCGTCTTCTCCATCACCGCCCTCATGAACAACACAATCACATATCGTCCTCACCATAAACATCATCATCATCATCATCATCATCACCATCACCATGAACAGCCGCAGCAGCAGCAGCAGCAGGCGGCGGCAGCAGCAGCATCAGCACTTCCGTTGCGATGTCCCTTTCCAGTTGTCGTCGTCCCCATTGCCATGATCATCCGGGGCGCGGTTTGTCTTCACACCCACGGGACCTGTCGTCCTGAGGGTGCAGACGGCATGTTGACCCTCAAGCCTCTAGCAAGTGGGTAATGTCTCCTTTGTATCGTGTCCGCATGGGTTGAGGCTGCAAGGTCCTAAACTATGTCGACAGCCCTCTTACATTGCGTTTTGCCTGTGCAATGGCACCTCAACGGTATCGTGCGAGGAGTGTTCAGAGAATGCCCTAAACCCCTAAATCCTAAACTCTCTACTAACTGTTCACTCCACGCCGTTACGATGAACTAAGGGCGCTTCGTGTTGCGAGCACGGATGCTTCGAGCCCTGAAGTGAAAAGGTTTGGTTGGGGGATTGTGCTAGTAAGGTTATCAATACCTTAATTGGAGTTCTAAGCAACGTTATAACCCTAGTTACTGAGTTCTATGTATGATCCTTCAAATCGTGTCTGCAGTTTTAAGAATTTCGCAGCTCCAGATTGCAGTTTTGCAGGTGTGTTTCAGTCCAGGGTTTCGGGTTTGAGGGGTGTGGTCTGGGGCCTAGGGTGCGACCTCGAACCGGGCCCCTTGCTGTTCTTCTGGGCGGGTTGCCCTGTTCGGATTCTCAACCTTAAACCCAAAACCCCCTAAACCCCAAGCCCTAAACCCTAAACCCTAAACCCCCTAAAGCCTAAGCCCCAAACCCCCAAACCTAAGCCCTGCAGGCTTGACTAGACCCAGAAATAAGCTAGGAATAAATGGGTGCCCTTTGTGGCTTAAAGAGGCTTGCAAGGGAACCTGAACCCCCAAAAGAAAGGGCCTACCAGTACTTTAGGTCCTAGGGATTTAAGGTTTCGGGTTTAGGAATGCAGGATGGTGTGGGTCTCGTATCACGGGTTGCAGTAGGGCATACTTGGAGGGTCGGGGGACTTAGTACGTAAGTGGTAATTAGACTTATAAGTACCCTAAAAGGGACCCTAATAGGGGTTTCGTACTTATAAGTCCTTAAAATAACCAGTTTCTAAGTCCCCCGACCCTCCAAGTACCACCACGTGTTTAGGGTTTAGGGTTCTTAAACCCTAAACCGAACCCTGAACCCTAAGCCCCAAACTCTTAAACCCTACCTTGAGCTTCATGGGGCTCAGTAAACCAGTTGTGGTTGTAAGCACACTGGTGTGTAAAGCTGGTCGCATCATAACCTACATATAACCCACTCAGCGAATCGTCTAGATTTGTATTGTACAAAAAACGCTCACAAGGCAACTACGACAACTCTCCCCTTCCGCCTTCTCGCAAACCCTGAACACACCCTAAACCCTAGACCCTAAACCGCCAAACCCTAAACCCCTAAACCCTAAACCCCCATATCATACCCTAAACCCCCAAACGCTAAGCCCTAAACCCAAAACCCTAAACCCCATACCCTAAACCCCAAACCTTGAACGCCTAAACCCTAAACCCAAAGCTCCCAAACCCTATACCCCCAACCTTTGAAACCTAAACCCCCATACCCTAGACCCCCAAACCCTAACAAACCCTTAAATCCTAACAAACCCCTAATCCCGAAACACCCATACCCTACCTAGACTCCCCAACTACCTTCTAATATACCCCAAATACCTACAATTAAGGGCTATTAGGGCTCCATTGAAGTGCCATTGGGGGGTCCTGGTAAACACTCTATACCCTAAACCCTAAACCCTAATGCGTTGAGTCAGGCTCGTACCCTGGTTCGGGCCTTCCGTGCCCAGAGGCGGGCTTCCAAAGCCCTTCACTAAGCGGCTTACTTGGAGGATCATGGGACTTAGAGTTCGTTAAAGGGCTGCTTTTAAAGGATCCTATAAGGGATCTGTGGGTTTTTTTGGGGTTTAGGGTCTACGACTTAGTAAATAAGGGTATAAGTACCCTAATTGGAGTTATAAGTATAGTTACCTTATTTATAACCCTAGTTACTAGTTCCCATGATCCTCCAAGTAGGCTTGTTTCTATTAGGCTTTTGGGCTTTAGGACTTTGGGGTTAAAGTGTAAGGGCCTTTCTCCGCATGAGCTCGGCTTAGCTGTTCAGGGTTTAGGGTGTGGAGGTCAGGGTATTTATAGAAGCACCCGGGTAATCAATGTGGTAACTAGAATGCAGTTTTGGGGGGCTGTAGTAAGAACCCTAATAATCAGTATCGACAATTTGGTAGTTATTCCGGCTTCTATATTGGATCTACGGCTTTAGCAGTTGAATGTGTAAAGTGTAGGCTGTCAATTAATAACACAGTCCCCCGATGCGCGCAATACTAGTCTGGGGACCTACAAAGGGACCTTAATTTAGAGAACTGCCCACATGGGTGGTTGTCGAAATTAGGGTCCCTTTTTGGGTAAAGGGACCATAATTTTGACAACCACCCGTATACCGACGCCCGTCCAAGAGCCGGCTGCTTAGGAGAGTTTATCCTGAATTAAGGCAAGCATCAGCGCAATTTCGTTTTGCCAGAGCTGGTTTCCGCCGGCCATCTGCGCTTGCCGTTTCCATGCATCCTGAAGTGATTGTATACAGTATTATGAAATATTTTCTGTTACATTTTATATTACAGAGTATAGACTTTGTACTTTGTGATATTTAAAGATGCCACAATAGATGTAAACTTTGTAATATGTAATGTATCGTGTATCATCTAGACTGTAGTATAGTCTTGTACCGTAGCCTAGTATAGTATTATCTCTGGGCTTTTACGTAACCAGGGAATACAAAGTCTAAACTGATATTTTACAATTAATGGTTTCTTTAAGAAAACATATTAAAGTATGGGACTCCAAAACCCGGATATCGTATTCTAGCTCAGATTGTGGTGGATTGGGCTTCTACCTCTATGAACCCGCGCATCGCCAAGCCTTTTCAGGAAACCTGCTCAGAAGCAACCCGGGGAGCACCCCAACAGCGCTGCAGAAACCCAAATCGGTTTCAGGATTAGAGGCTGGATACTGCCCCCATACAGTAACAGTCCATGAATTGGCCTACTAATACTATGAGTGCTATCCAACTGCTACTGAGTGGGGGCAGTATCCAAAATAGAGGTTTAAGGGCTTAGGGCTGAGGGTTCGGAGTTTCGGAATTCTGGATTTGTGTCAATTACCTCACTACACCTGCCGGAAGGCACAACAAAAACACGTGGGTCCACATGGGGTCGGGGTCCCTCCCTAAACCCTAAACCCTAAACCCTAAACCCTAAACCCTAAACCCTAAACCCTAAACCCTAAACCCTGAAAAATCAAGAGCGGCATGGCCCCAGAGACTCCAAAAGCCATTGATCAAGGAATATACCTTAAATCATACTAGGGATCCTGATCTATTTTAAGGTGTACTTCCTTAATTCTGGGGCTTGGAGCCTTTTCTTCGGAGCTGAAGCTCAAGAGTGTTAGGGCTCAAGCGTGCTGAGACCCGCTCTCCTGACCAATGTCAGTTGCAGGGCTTGGGCGAAACACAGATACACACCATCACACTTGCCAGTGCTGGTCTACGAGATCTTGGGCTATCAAAGGGAAGACGTTGAAGCCCAAAAACCAACTTATAGTAGTACAACAGTATAAATAGAGCGCCATAATACGAGCAATAAAAGAAGTAGCAGTATAACATGGCTATAGTATACTAAGTCAATATAGTATTACTGTAATGCATTGCTACTATGGTGAAACTATCCCTGGGTTGGTACCTTGCTTCACGTTCCTATGTTGATGCCAAGACAAGACGTGCATGAGGGCGCTACTGGGGCACCTGGAAACTGATCCATTCCTTCTATACACTCTTAAAGTCTTCAGCGAACCCTAGAACCCTTAATGGCTCCTTTACAGTACAAGTATAGTAATTAACGAACCCGAAGGAACAACTCGGAATCATATTGGGAATTCAATATTTGGCCTTCTATGAATGATAGAGCAACCAAGAAGCTAAAGGGAAGGTCAGCAGCGCCGCGCCGATGCCGCCGGCCGCCCCAGACAAGACCACCGGCGGGATCCAGCCCCCGCTCCTGCCAGGTTTTGGGTTGAGAGCTTATTTGAAGGATCATGGGACTTGGTAAGTTTAGAAGTACCCTAGTTGGAGTTACAAGCAGCCATAAGCACAGCAACGGTGACACAACCCGTGTTGCTAAGTCCCATGGTCCTCCAAGTAGGAAAAGCTTGCACAGTATCCGTGATGTTTGTCGTTGGGGAAGGGGAGGGTTAGCCTGAGTTTCTGTAGTGCCTGTATGAACTTCTATATGTCTTTTCGCACTAGAGTCACTACTTGGAGGGTCGGGGGACTTAGTAATTGGTTATTTTAGGGACTTATAAGTACCATAACCCCAATTAGGGTCCCTTTTAGGGTACTTATAAGTCTACTTACTACCTACCTTACTAAGTCCCCCGACCCTCCAAGTAGAGTTTACAGATCAGGTTGCAGCCTTGTGGGAAATCTCTAACTAGACCCAAGAGTAACCAAGGAAAAAAAAGGGTGCCCTTTTTGGGTTATAGGGGCTTTTAAGGGAACCTGAACCCTCAAAAAGGGAATAAGGGCCTACTCTGGGTCCTAGCTAATGCTTTGGGTCGAGCCATCGTGTTTTTCTCATACGAGGTACATTGTAGCCAATCAGAAGGGAGCTCAAGTAGTGTAACCCTGAAAATCCAGGTGCTTAAGGAGAGTTGAGCATAGCACTTGGGACTACGAGGTTTTGTGTGGCGTTAGTAGAGTTAGTAGAGCTTCAGGCACTCTAGAAGGATTCAGCCTTCCAACCTAGTGCGCCCGAGAGGGGTATTGGGTTTAGTCCTTGCTTCCTTAGCAAAGCTCTCCAAGGCTTTCAGAAAAACTCCAGAAACCCCCTAAATCTTAGAAGGGGCCCCCACCCTGTAATAGTGACTATAAGAATTATATTAGGGTCCTACTCTCTTCCTATTATACCACTATTTCAGGGTGGGGGCCCCTTCTAACCCAACCCTAAAACCTAAAGCGGCGCACATGTCGGATCAAAGCACTTCAAGGTGTTGGAGCAACACAGAACGGCTTACGAAACAGCACTACAGTTGATGATATAAATCCTGCATTACCTTAAGGACCCGACACTATGGGAAATACCTATGGTATAGTCCATATTATGGGTAATGCAGGATTTATATCATCAACCGTACAACCCCTCTTGTCCCACATGGTGTTTCAGAAGGGCCGAAGAGCAGCAATTAGTCACACATGCTAGGAAATCAAGACTAAGACAGGGGCCTTAATAAGTAGAATAGTATTCATTTTAGGGGGGGGTATTTCTATGCTATGCTCATAATAAAGAACCCCCCCACAATACTATTGGTAATTTTTTAGGCCCCTATCTTAACTACCTGGGCTTCCCCTCTCCCTAGGCTTAGGGTTTAGGGCAACATCCCCCCCCACCACCCACTTGGAGGGTCGGGGGACTTAGTAACTGGTTATTTTAGGGACTTAAAAGTACCACAACCCTAATTAGGGTCCCTTTTAGGGTACTTATAAGTCTACTTACTACCTACTTACTAAGTCCCCCGACCCTCCAAGCACCAGAGAGCCGAAACTCCGAATTCCAAAACTTTATCCCTAGGGTTTAGGGTTTAGGATTTAGGGTTTAGGGTTTAGGATTTAGGATTTAGGGTTTAGGATTTAGGGTTTAGGGTTTAGGGTTTAGGATTTAGGGTTTAGGGTTTAGGATTTAGGGTTTAGGGTTTAGGGTTTAGAGTAAGGGTAATGGAAGGATACCCTTTGTTCCTGGGTAGTTCTCTAAAGTGGGGTCCCGTTTAGGGGGTTTTTAAAAGGGTGCCCTACTAGATTTGGGATTTAAAACCGGGTCCTCGTTTAGAGAACTACCCTCCTAGTGGCAGCGACCCCAAAACACATGGGTGGTTGTCAAAACTATGGCCCCTTTTGGGGTACCATAAATATTATATTATTAGGTGCCGTATTATAAGCGGTACCCAAAAAGGCGCCTTAATTTTGACAACCACCCACATGGCACAACGAGTAGTACAGGCCAGGGGGGAAACCCAGAAAGACCAACAACCGAACAGTTCAAAGAGAACCTCACCGAACCCGTAAAAGGGGCCTTTTCAGAAGCATAAGGGGGTACTGCAAAGTGGGACACAGAAACCCCACAACACTGACCCCGGAAATCCTCAAAGCCAAGCACTCAATTAGGGCCCCAAAAAAGCACATAAGCAAAACTAGGATAGGGATATCCCACATAAACCCCCTTATAATGAAGCCCAATAAGGTAGGGATATCCTGATATCCCTATAAAATGCTTATGCTTATGTGCTTTTGGGGGTCCCTGTGAATGGAGCTCTGAAGTGAGGTACCCCTCGAGGATGCCTTCAAGAAACCCGGAAGGAGCAAAGCGCTAAGGAACCATTAAATAGGATCTCCCATAGAAGACCACTACAAGAGCCCCCAAACTGGGCTTTTAAGCAACCAGGGAGATAAAGGGTATAAGCTGGTATTTCATACTTGGAAGGGCAGGGGACTTAGTAAGTAGGTTATAAGTAGGGTTATAATTGGGGTAACTCTATTTAGGGTACTTATAACTCTACTTATAACCTACTTACTAAGTCCCCTGCCCTTCCAAGTAATGGTTTCTTTAAGGAAAAAGCATCAGAGTATGGTATTCCCAAGCCCAGTAATGGGCAGTCAACACAAGTGGACCTTGAGGAGAGAAGTCCCACCTTGACAACCGCTCCATCGAAGGACCGAATAAACAAGGGTTTCGGGTTTACGGTGGGCTTAGGGTCTGGGGTGTAGGGGTTTAGGGATTTAGAGCATAAGGTTGAGAGCTTAAGGATTGGGGTTTAGGATCCTCCTTGGGTTCCTTTAATGAGGGTTTAGGGTTTAGGGTTTAGGGTACGTACAAGAGTTTCCGTACTGGGGCCCAAACCCAAAATAAATGTTAAAATTAGGTTTTTGGCATGATGCGATACTCTGACTGCACAACTACACTAGGCAAACCCGAACTGTTCCGACCCCGATACACATCGTGGATCGAGCAAGGTTTAGGAGCTATATAAGGGTTTAGGGTGGTCTAGGGTTCAGGGTTTAGGGATTGGGAGTTTAGGCGTGGGGTTTGGTGGCTCAGGGTGTGGGATTCCAGGCTGAAGCTTAGGGAATTGGGGTTTATGGTTTACGCAGGGCCTTAATCAATACAGTGAGATGCGGCTCCTCTGTTGATTATTTTGTTGCTGGCAGTTGCCACATTCTAGCCGTTCAGAACCACGACAGGCCCTTCAATTGCCATGCAAGTTGAGAAGCCTTCGTGCGTTGACACCCACAATTCCCAATGCAAACAGCGAGTTGAAAGACTGAACAGGCTCGAATAGAGAGGTGCTGCTGCCAGTGCTGCTTGGTGCTGGTGCTGCATGCTGCTGCGCATGCCGTACATGTTGCCCGTGGTGGTGCAAGTGTGGCGGTGCTGACGCCAATGCTCCAAGTACCCAGTAACCATATACCCTCCAAAACTCCAACCTACATAACTACTATCCTAAAACCGAGTACCGAATTCTTGGGTCCTTTGGACCCTTGCGTTAACTGCTTCCTCATTGCTGTCCCAAGAAGTTTCTCGTTGCTACGCTGATGGTGTTGCTGTGCTCAAGTCTGTTGTTCTCGTGTTTAGTTCGCTACTATTACAGCTACATGTATCAGGTGTGATGTGTGATTCTGATAACTGCTGGGATGACTAGACTGGCTAGTAGCAACAGTGCTTTTCAAATGCGGACTTGACGATAAACACCCAAACAAGGCCGCAAAGCCCCCAGAAAGAGTGCCGCCGGGCAACCAGATGAGAGTCCCGGAAGTAATCCTTCAGGAAGAAACAAACCGTGACAGTCCTGAGTTGAGCAGCGGATCCGCCGTTGTTCTCTGGGGTTCTCTGGGAGAACAGGGGCTCGGTCGGGGGTTCCTGTTGGGGAGCACTGGTATCTCCCAGTATCTCCGACATCAAATGCAAAAGCACTAAACCATACCCTAGGGCCCCACGGCAGTTCCTTTTTAGGGTTAATTACCTCATAAGATTCTAAATAAGAACCCCAACAAGGAACTACTACGGGGCCTTAGGGTAAACGAGTATTCCTACTGCACTTTGCAGCCTGGGCGTGCAAACGAAAGATATGATGGCACAGCGTCAAAGTATAAGACAAGCCTCAGGTACCAAGTGAAACCAACTAAACACAAAAAGAGCGCATGTGTGACATCCGCTGAAGGGTGCACAGTACGACATACAGGCCCCACCACACTTCTTTCAGGATCCCTGAAACCCTAAACCCAAACCCTAAACCCTAAACCCTAAACCCCAAACCCAGCGTGGCAGACAGAGCGCAAGGATAGTCCAGAGAGGCAAGGTCTCATAACACTTTCCTTTTTCGTGGAGTACAGTCCACAAAAAAAGCTCTCTTTGTGACTCAATTGGGTTTAGGGTTTAGGGTTTAGGGGTTTAGGGGTTTAGGGTTTAGGAGTTTAGGGTTTGGGGTTTAGGGGTTTAGGGTTTAGGGTTTAGGGGTTTAGGGTTTAGGGTTTAGGGGGTCGTTTGAAGTTAAGTGTACTTCATGTCGAGGCCCATATAAAGCCCATACATAATAATGGCTGTCCTATCTGAGTCAGCACAGCTAAACCCTGAGCCTCAAGACCCGGCACAAACAAAGGCGGCTGCACCTTGATGGGAGTTGTCGCTTTCGCGACACTTTAGCAAATTCTCAAACGCAGGGATGCGCACAAGACGACGGACTATAAGACTGACCGCCTCGTGAACTACTTTTAAGCTCTGCAATACCTGAAGGACGAAGTGTTCCCTGGAACAGCCCAATTACCATGCCGAAATTCTTAGTACAAGGGATGTACAAGAGCATTAGGGCCCGCACTTTCAAGGAACATGTGGTAAATGTCCCTATGGTATCTCTACTCGAAAACAATCACAGATAGTTTTTCGAGATCCCTATAGAAGCAACCACCACCCAAAACAGACAGAACCAAAAACCTCCCCCATAGACGTAAGGGTGTCATCCTCCAAAACTCAAACCTCCAACCCTGCCGCGTTAATCACCATAGAGGAACCCTAAACCCTAAAGCCCCAAATAAACTAGCAACTGGAAACCCTGAAAGCGAAAGCTTTGAGGCATGCAAGGGTCGGGATGATGGTGCCGCAAGAGATCTTGAACCCGGCCTGGGCTAAGATTGGGTTTTGAGTGGTTCAGGGTCTTGGGATCTTGGGTTTACGGCTTCAGGTCTGGGATTTAGGGTTTGAGGTTTAGAGTTCAGAGCTTGGCATGCGGTGAAGACTCGAAAGGAATTACTTAGAGCTGTATGGCTTAGAAGGGGCCCCCACCCTGCAATAGTGACTATAAGGACTATATTGGGCCCTATTATATTCCTATTCTACCACTATTACAGGGTGGGGGCCCCTTCTAATGTATGGCTTCAGAGATGGAAGCTAGAAGTGCTTAAGGATTAAAGCTGTGGCTCAAGGGCTGAGCCTAAAACCCCGAACCCTCTCGTTTGCTTTGAAGTCACACCGTCCCACAGAATCGGCATAGTCTGGGTTCTTGCGATGGACATGAGTTGAAGCTATAGGTCCATGATATTTTGCAACTGAAAAAGTTCCTTCACAAGAACTCAACAGTTCTGGAGCAAACAGGGGGTTGACGACACCCCATGACTAACCCTAAACTCTCGACCTTTGCGCTACTGAAGCCCCAAAACCTCAACCCCGAACCCTAAACCCTAAACTCTAAACCCTACATCCGAAACTGTAAACCCTAAACTCTAAACCCTAAAACCTATATTCCAAAACCTATTAAATCCCAAACCCTAAATCCTAAACTCCAAACCCTACACCTAAACTCTAAAAACCTAAACCCTCAACCGCTTCGGAGCCTTCGGACTCCGAAGCACTCGGCAGTGAAGGGAGCGTTTTGCAGGTTAGGGTTTGGGTTGCGTTTAGGGTTTATAAACCCCATAGGGCTTAGGGCTGAGTTGGGTAAGTTGCGTTAAGACTTCAGGGTTCAGCCACCCCTCATAAGGATACTATAACTATTAGCATGGGTCTCTGAGCTCCCTTATAGTATAAACCTAATGAGGAACCCTAAGGAATCGTATTGGTAAGTAATTTAGGCTTCTAAAGTAAAGGGTTTAAAGCGGCTGATACACGGTCTGAACAACTTCAACTAAAAGAACCGAGTCCCAAACAATTGAAAAGACAATAAGCTCGAATGCTGACCATAAACTTAAAACTTTAACTCCTAAGGCCCCAACAACGTAAACGCGAAAACCTTAAACCCAGACCCTAGGGTTTAGGGTTTAGGGTTCAGGGTTTAGGGTTTAGGGTTTAGGGCTCGAAACAATGCAGGTGTTGCGAAATACCAACGAGCCTGTAGACGGAAAGGGCTCACTTATAGCTTGTCTTCTGCCTTGCAGGTGGCCCACAAAGCTCAGACGAGATGCGTAAAAGCCCCGCCAGCCTCAGCTTACAGGGGGAAGAGGTCAAACCCAAAATGCACCCGAACCCTAAACCCTGAGGCCTAAACCCTACTAAACCCTGAAGCCTAAGCCTAACCCTAAGCCCGAAACACTCTTTCTTCTTATCCGGGCGGGTGGGATCTTTTTCAAGTCTGCATCTGCAGCTTCGGTTGAGGAATCAAGGCTACAACTTCAAGGGCTTAGGATTCATTCTATGGGGTTAGGGCTTCAGGGCTTAAGGTTTTGCATGAGTCTGTCCCTGGGTCTGCTTGGGTTGTACCTTAAGGGCTCCCAAAAGAAAAGCCTTTTTGACAAGGTATCTCTATACCCAAAGCTCCACCTTGAACTTTTCCTAAACCCTGAACCCTAATCCCTATGCTCTCACATTTCTTTAAGGGAGATCGGTCGTGGGTTTGGGGATTCCCCCAAGGGTGCAAGTACCTAATCATGATATACTCCCCGAAATCCTAACCTACATGGGGCTTTCCGGAAATAGGGGACCCTGATATAGTACCCTAAATAGTAGGATCCTTAATATAAGGGTCCCAAAATAAAGTACCCCTATCTTCGGAAACTCCCACATAACTAATATCCTAAACCGAGTACAATACCTAATTACTGGGTGCTTTGGACCCTCGGGGTTGAGGCCTAAACCCTTAACGCTTAATCCCTCAACCACTAACCACTAACACCTAAACCCTTTAAGGGCCGTGAGCTCCGGGATGCTGGTGCAGGGCGAAGTTTTGGGGCTTAGGGTTGCTGGAAATCCTGAAGTTTCATTCGATGGTCTTCTTGCCTCTTTGGTTCTGCGGCATCACGGTATGAGGACAACTTGCAGAAACAGTCATCGTGCGCAAGAGCCGAAACTTCATTTATGTGTACGCATCTCTGTGTTTGCGGGTTTGTGGGCAAATTTACTTGGCATGCAATGGCCTTTTGGCCCCAGTTTCTTAGACTACCTCCGTCCGCAGGCTGTTACCCAAAGGGTCCAAGTATCATTATGGCATATACTTATAGGGTAGTTTGGGGGTCTAAGTACATACCATAATGATACTTGGACCCTGTATGCTAGCCCCAGCTGAATGCTTAAGGAGAGCATTTCTACAAACGTCGCGGAAGCCAAGCTCCGTTCTGAGGCAACCATGCCCTGGCTTGCAAGGTTCATCTAGATCATACCCCCAAAGGGTCCAAGTATCATTATGGTATATATACTTAGAGGGTATTTTGGGGGTATAAGTATACCATAGTCTTGGATCCTTTACGATACGGCTCAGGGTTTGGGGTTTTGGGCTTCGGGACGTTAGACTGCTGAGCATATTTCCATAATGCCGACCTCGTACCGTGCACAGCATGTTCAGGCTAGGAAAAACCCGAAACCCTAAACCCAAACCCTCAAGCCCTGAAAGTTGCAGGTTCGGACGTAGCGATTACGGTGACGGGCAAAAAAATCCCTAAACCCTAAACCCTAAATCCTATTCTGGCCGCAGGGTTTCATGCTCCTTAGAACTCCTGGGTTCCCCCCAGTAGCCCCGAAATAATGAGGGCACCCTTTTTCCTAGCATTCGGCTTTGATAAGCCCAGAGAACCCAATACCCCTTAATTAAGGAATAGACCTTAAATCATAATATTAAGCCCTCTATATTTTAAGGTATAATCCTTAACTAAGGAGTATTGGGATCTTTGGGAGGGAACCCCAAAAGAAAAAGGGCAAAAGGGTACTGCTCGGGGACCTAGACTCTAGACTCTTAAAGAGTTTGGGATTGCTCAAGGTTCGCAGCAAATTAATTATGGATTTTCCCGGGCTGTTTATGTCGTTCAGGAGTTCAAGCGCTATTTCGGATTTTAGGGTTTGGGGTACCAGGTCTCCGGTGGCTTTAGCATACTTGACAACGCCCGAGCGACCTTCTTCCCGCGAGACGCGTGCAACCGTTTGCCAGATGCTCTCATAGCCAAACCCTTGGCTTGGCATGGCGTGTGCTTGGAAGGGCAGGGGACTTAGTAAGTAGGTTATAAGTAGAGTTAGAAGTACCCTAAATAGAGTTACCCCAATTATAAGCATACTTATAACCTACTTACTAAGTCGCCTGCCCTTCCAAGTGTGGGCTTCAGACTTGCTGACCTACCTTGCCACAAAGCTCCACACTGCAGACTCTAAACCCTCAACCCGAAATTGCCCCACTCATGAATCGCAACCTCAAGCCGTCTCTAAACCCAAAGCCCCAATCAAGAAACCCCTCAATTCCGCAAACGCTGGGCCCCGAACGCTCAATCTTTGCCACATGCCCTGACAGCCCTGAAAATTGGACCTGTTTCGCTATCCGGTTCAGATGAAATTGTAAGTAACTGATACCTGACTCACACACCCTCCCTTACTAGAGAAACCCCACCTGGGATCCCTAGGACTACGATACAAAAAAAGGTAGGTAGAGGCAGCCACAGCTCTATATCCCCAAACCCTAAACCCTAAACCTCGAACCCTTGGCACACGCGGGCCCGCACCGGCGATCCCCTAAACTTGAAACCCTCACACGAAGCAAATTTACGGGGAGCAACATAATTTCAATAAGGTTTTTGGGCAGAATATACTAGCTTATAATAACGAAGTCCCAAAATAGCCTTGTTGGTTATTTTTAGGCCCCTATATGACCCTCCAGAACACCCCGAGCATCCACTCTCAAGGATCCCCTGGGCTCTGTTAGAGGGCCTTTAAAGACTAGACCCAAGAGTAACCAAGGAAGAAAAAGGGTGCCCTTTTTGGGTTACAGGGGCTTTTAAGGGAACCTGAACCCTCAAAAAGGGAATATAGGGAACTCCAGAAAGTTGGAATATGGATTAATGGTAGGATCCCCTATAATTTACCTTAAAGGGCTTACGATAATGATATTCCAACTTTCTGGCTTCTACTGTAAGGGCCTACTCTGGGTCCTAGAAGAGGCTCCTGCTCAAACTTCACAGGGCCCCGAAGTCGAAACCGTTTCGGAAGCTTTTGACAATGCTTCCGAAGCCCAGAAACAGGGGCCGGAATCGTTATATCGATGGTGCTATTCCTTGGGTTTTTTCCTGATTATATAGCTGTAGTATAACATACCCCAAGATCGTATACAAACTATTCCCTAAAAACCCAACTACTTTCCATTATACCCTAAGTCCACCATTAAGGATCATAAGGGCTGAATTAAAGAGCACTTGGCGGGGGTCCAGGTAATCCCTAAACCCTAAACACGCCCTAAACCCTAAACCCTAAAAACACCACCCCCTTATTATAAAACCCATATTGGCATTTATATATGTATATACATATACATGTACATATACATATACATATACATGTACATATACCTATACATATACCTATACCTATACATATACATATACATATACATATACATACACATATACATATACATATACATATACATATACCTATATATATAGATATGTATACATATGTATGTATATACATACATACATATATATATATATATATATATATATATATGCACACATAAGCCTTGTAGACGACCCCTTTAAAGGAACCCCGAAGGGTCCAGGCCCCCCTTAGAGTCTCCGAGCAGCTACGGCTGGCTGAGAGCTTGGTTTTCACCACATCCTGAGCTGCCCCTACGCTTACCTTTGGTTAGTAGGGAATGGAGGAATGGGGTACAACTATAACTACTATTACTACCATTCTTCCATTCCCTACTAACCAAAGGTAAGTACGGGTCGAACTGTTGATGATAGATAAACCCTAGGGTGCCTTTAAAGGGATCTATAAGAGTACCTTCAAGGGGTTTCTTTAAGGGATCTACAGGGTTTTAGGGCTTAGGGTCTAGGTTGATGAAATAAACCCTGCGTTACCTTAAGGACCCTAAACTATGCGAATTGTGGGATACTCCTTATTATGGATAAGGCAGGATTTATATCATAAGTAAGCGTCAAAGTACCCAATATAAGGGCTTAGAGCTTAGGATTTAGGGCTTTACGGTTTTAGGGTCTAGGGGTTTGTAGAAATTGTTTAAGGTTCGGGTCCGGGGTCTTGACCGGGTTTCGTGCGGTTTTGGCAGCGTTTCGCGTTGTGCTTTCTGGGCTGGGCTGGGCGGGCTGCCGGGCTGGGATGAGCTGGGCTATTGCAGCTGCCAAACACTTTCTATTTGTCCTAGGCTTGAGGGTTTAGGGTTAGGGGTTTGGGGTTTAGGCTTTAGGGACCTAATGCTTATATACTCTCTCAAGTATGAACCTGCATAACTACTATCCTAAACCCGAGTACCTTATTACTGAGTGCTTTGGACCCCTGAGCTGTTCTTTCGTTCCTGAAGGGGTTCCATTTAGGCTTTGGGGTCCAGGGTTAGGGTTGAGGGTTTAGGGTTGAGAGTTTAGGGGTTCAGGGTTTGCTTGCCATTTCTCCCTGGTTCTTGGTGGGGCATGGGGGAATGGATTCCTATTCCAGTCCCTTACACTAGTCCCATAACCCATTCCCCTTCTTCCTACTTAGAAGCAGAGAGTTTTGTTCCTCAAGAGTGGTTCAGGGCTGTTCATGGATGGCGGGGGTCTCAGCATGCATACTAAACAGGGCTATAGGTAGGGTAACCGCGATTCGGGCACTTAAAGGCCTAGCTATACTCTAATGGGTATACCATGGTTTCGCACTTGGTGCCTCAGGGCTCAGAAAACTCTAGCTCGAAACCTAGTTGCCACTGTCATGGTTTAGGGGCTCTTGTATTACAGACCGTACATGGGATACTTGGAGGATCATGGGACTCAGTAACAGGGTTGTAAGTAAGGCAACTATAATTGCAAATACTTAATAGTAAACGTATAACTCTGGTTACGGTACAGTACTTAAAGGGTATTACTGTACTTACCAAGTCCCCTGATCGTCCAAGTATGTGAGTTCAGGAAAAACAATCCGTCCCAATTATAAACCCCAATTCCATGCGTTCCGCGATCAGTCAAAGATACAGGAATGATTCGCGAACATAAGAGGTCCCGTTTTGTGCATGAACCGTAGGGGCCTGAATAATTAGAACAAGCCCTAAACCCTAAACCCTAAACCGTGGCGTGTTCAGCTTCGAGGGTTCAAAGGTTTAGAGCTCAGGCTTTAGGCTGAGGGTTTGTGTCGAAACCTCGAATCCCTGACACGTCCTCCTTGCAGCATCCTGAGACTAACTATGCAGGGCTATACAGGGCTATACAGAAGTGGGCTTAGTTCGAATCGGAGGGTGGGTCAGGGTTCTGATGTGCAGCGAAACCCTACACCGTACAGCACTGAAGTCCTACACCCTAAACCCTGGCCCCTAAACCCTCAACCAAACTTCCACTAAACCCAACATCCTAAATCCTAAACCTACATCCCTGATACCACCTAAACTCACCGAGTAGCTAAAGGTTGGCCTGCTGTGGTACCTGCTACAGAGCCCGCCAGCGCCTCGACCGGGGAAGCAAGGATTCGGAGTCTCTGGTGCTTTACGACCTCCTTTTAGGGATCTTTGGTTTAGGGCCTAGGGCTTAGGGATCTAATCTTATAAGGGTGTTCTAACAGGGTTTAGGTTTGCGATTGGGATTGATGGCCTGTTTGCCAGCAGGCGCAGTGTCCAAAACAGTCCGCCTTAGAACGGGGCCTTTGCATAGAAGCCTGACCGGCAGGTAACAATAGCCGATTCGGACCCCATGTAATGAGCCATTTGTGCTTGGACATTACTGAAATTACAAGAAACCTAAACTTAAACCCTAATAGCCTAAACCCTAAACACTGAACCCTAAACACTGAACCCTAAACTCTAAACACTGAACCCCAAACTCTAAACCTTTTGGGCTTAGGGAATGGGTGTAGGAGCCCGGTACTCGCCAGGGATACGAGTTTCTGGAAGTCGGATCTACCTCGCCCGTGTGCCCTTTCAATCACGGTAAAAGGAGGGACCCTTTATAAGGACCCCTAGGCTGGTTCATGGTTGGGATAAGAGTAAAAATTTAAACTTTTATTCCTTATTGGGTTTAAGTACCCTTAAAAATGTAAAATTTTACCCAACTATGACAAAGTAGGTATAGACCCTTCATATAGCTATTATATACCCATTATATAGCCCATTACAGGATAGGGGTCCCCATTAAGGGTCCCTCCTTTTCCCCCAAGGAAGGGAGTTTCCTAAATGCTACCTGTAGTCTCCATTGTAGTTCCTTTTTGGGGTTACCTTTTAGGATCCCTAATTTATAATGGAGACCAAAGGTGACCCGAAAAAACCCTGAACTCTGGGCCCTAAACCCCCAAACCCTGTCATTGCAAGCAGTTCTACAGAAGGAATGCCACGTCTGGTGCCGCCCCAAGTCCAGCTTGCAATCGGTATGTGAGGTCACCGTTTCTGGTTTTTAAGAAGAAGCACCAAGGCTGTGCAGCTTCGTGCGACATTTGTGCACACGTGTGTTTGAAACGACATAGTGGAACTCGAACCCGAAATCAATCAATGAAAATCCAAAGGGATGATGCTCCCTAGATATGACATCGGCAATTTCCCCAAGCCCTAAGCCCTTAAACACTGAAGACCCGCAGCGGACGACTTACGATCGACCCAAGATGCGGGTGCCAATGGGGCAGTCAAGCCTAGAAGCCCAAGATCGTGACCCTCCCTTTCGCCAGGTTCACCAGCATCGCCGTTTTAGAAATTCCTATGTAGGGTCAACTTCAAGGTTTAGGGTTAGGTGGTTAGAGTTTAAGGCTTAAGGCTTCTTGGATTAAACGAGGTCTCAATCCCACATCTCACGTACAAGGACTCAGATGCCATCCAGGTCACTGCCAGAAAATCCCTCTGGTGTGTGGGCAGCCTGAGCGGCCAGCCCGAAAAGCTCCGATGTTGGGCCTAGTATCGCCGACCTAATAATCGGACGAGGATTCTAGGGTACCAGATACTATATAGTTTTATCATTCAGTGCTCAGGCTCAGACTTTGCAGGTTTGCGCACTGCGCACTAGTTGCACATAAGGATTTGCACGCCATAAACACCATACTGGGATGCGGCCAGGAAGTACTTCCTTTTGGGTAGGTACTTCGGGGCCTCGTATATACTATGTGGGTTATGTGGATCCGAACTTGGAGGTTCATGGGATTTAGTGGGTAAGGTTACAAGTTATAAGTACCTTGACTGGGGTCATAATTAGTTATAATATAAGTACAGCTATCTTATTTACAAGCCTGGTTACTAAGTCCCATAACCTTTAAGCAGGATATGTAACTCATGTACTTGTACCCGTGAGGTTGGGTGCTGTCGAACCCTGCACTCCTTGCACCAAAAACGCTCAATCCTAAATCCTATAAGCCATATGGGAGTGTTTCCGAAAATAGGGGTACCATATTTTGGGGCCCTTACAATCAGGATCGCACTACTTAGGGTACTATGTTAGGATCCCCGAGTTTTCGGAAACCCTACCCTCAAACCCTAAATCCCATAAGCCATGTGGAACTCTAAACCCATGAACCCCTTAAGCCCCAAACCCTCAAGCCCTTGAGCCCTTCAGCCCTTAAGCTCTTAGGCCCTATTAGAGCCCTAAACATCCCTTAACCCTATATGCAGGGTTTAGGGTTTAGGGTTTAGGGTTTCAACTTGAAAAACGCCGAAGCTACGGCTGCAACCACTTCTTGAAGAGCTCGTTGACGGGAAAAATGCAGCCGTTGGTAACGCAGCGGTGGCCGAGCATGGCGCCGTTGCCTGCCACGATTCCCCTAAGGCTCCATGTGCCCATGCAGCTTATGCTTAGGCCTATAAGGTACCTGCAGGGGAATACTATATAGATATAGGTACATGTAGCCGAAAAAATCTAAACCCCTGTGGTACCCGTATACAATCCTTAACAGGATGCCTTAAAGTAGGCCCTGAAAGGCACCCTTAAGGGATCCTATCACGGACCCTATTAGGGACCCTATGCGGGCTCTTATAAGGGATCCTTCAAGAGGTTCTTTTGAGAGATTCCGCAGGGGCACATGGAGCCTTACGAGTTCAGAGTCTAGACAGGAATCTGAAGCTTGAGAATGCACGACAGCCTGCAGGCCACCAGAGTTTACCTCTATTCTCCATTGTAACTCCTGGTTGTGGGTTACCTTATAGGATGGAAAACATACAAAGTACAGTAAACCGAAAAAAGACCTAACACAGAGACTACAGACAGGGTTTGAGGGCGTTGTAGAGTATATGGTATCAAACCCTAAACCCCAACCCTAGACCCTACGGGATTCAGGAGCCTCGGGCGGTGAGTTTCGAAGTTTGAGAGCATACTATAGTGTGCTATACTGCACTGTGCCTATGGCAACGGTACGATTGCGATCGCGATCGCGACTACAAACACGATCACGATCACGATCACGAACACTACTACTACTACTACTACTACTACTACTACTACTACTACTACTACTACTACTACTACTACTACTACTACTACTACTACTACTACTACTACTACTACTACTACTACTACTACTACTATTACTACTACTACTACTACTACTACTACTACTACTACTACTACTACTACTACTACTACTACTACTACTACTACTACTACTATAACTACTACTACTACTACTACTACTACTACTACTACTACTACTACTACTACTACTACTACTACTACTACTACTACTACTACTACTACTACTACTACTACTACTACTACTACTACTACTACTACTACTACTACTACTACTACTACTACTACTACTACTACTACTACTACTAAACTACTACTACTACTACTACTACTACTACTACTACTACTACTACTACTACTACTACTACTACTACTACTACTACTACTACTACTACTAGTACACTTTCCACGATATGGTACACGATATGGTACGATTCTATGCTATACCATACTATGCTATACTACGCTACATACTATAGACTACAGACTAAACCCTATATAACAAAATTAAATACCAGATACTTTGTACTGCTTACTATATACTATCTACTAGCTACAATATACTATGAACTACAAAAGACACGCTTTATAGTATGTACGACATACTCACAGACTCTTTACGATGTACTGTATATTCAGCGCTATATATTATAAACTGCATGCGATATACGATCGACGACATGCGATATACTATTTGCCATGCACTACGTACTATGTACTATGCTTTATGTGCTACATACTATGTGTTATATACCGTCTATTGAATACTGTATACTATATACTACAAAATGAAAACAATATACGATGTACTGCATACTTTATACTTCTACTATACCATACCGCTACTACTGTACTACAGTACCTGGAGTGTCGGGGGACTTCGTAACCGGTTATTTTAGGGACTTATAAGTACCATAACCCAATTAGGGTCCCTTTTTGGCTACTTATAAGTCTACTTACTACCTACTTACTAAGTCCCCCGACCCTCCAAGTATACTCCCGGTATGATTTGGGAGCTCGAGACTCGCAGTCTTTGAGCGACTGGAAGTCGCATTTTGAAACTTACTTGGACGATTATGGGACTTAGTAAATAAGGTTAAAAGGTACCCTCAATTGGAGTTACAAGTATAGTACTCGATTTTTGAAACTTAAAAATACTGAAAGGGTATTTTGGGGGGTCTAAGTATATACCATGATGATACTTGGACCCGTTGGGTTTGCAGCCCACAGATCAAACTGTGACGCAGGCAGCGGCTACGACTTGTACTATACAACAGACCACAGACAACGTGACACAATTCTCCTGCAGTTGCTTGGCCTTGGCAATGTCCAATGTAGCAGGAGCCGACCAGTCGGTGTCATGCTGGTCGCACATCCACTGGCTTAAATCTTGAATCTCAGCTATAGGACCATTTTCTGGCGACCCAGTTTCGTACGTCTCGTCATCGAGCTCTCCACAAACATGAACAAATTCACGGTATTGCTCATACTCCACGTGGAGCTTGATCTCCCCACAAATCAGAGAAAATTCAGCTTTAGGGCTTAGGGCTCCGAGTGAGGATGAACACCGGGAAGTTTGCTTTGGGCATGTGAGCGGAGAAAACGGCCGACAGCTCTCGATCTCACATGTTGTTTCTATATTCCCAAGTCCCCGACGGTTCGAACAACCAAAAGCATTGCAGCCATCTGACGCACCGCTTAACATTTAGAACCTCATCCTGGGCCCTCAAACCAAAAGACCTAAACCCTAACCCCAGCATCCTCAATCCTAAACACTGAACCCCAAAACCCAAAAGACCTAAACACTAAACCCCAAACCCTGATTCGCGAAGGCCCAGCCTCACTCAAGATGCAAAACCCCTGAATGGGGGTCTTCATCTCAGTCTGGGCGCCTTACAAAGACACTAACCCCAAAAGGGTCCAAGTACCTAATAATCCTATACTCCCCAGTATCCTAACCTGCATAACTACTATCCTAAAACCGAGTACCCAAACTTGGGCTGCTTTGGACCCTTGGGGCAATAAGCTAGCTTAGGATGTTCGTGATACGGATCCCGAACATGGGACCCTAATTAATCACGTATAAACCCTAAACCCCTAACCCAAAGCTCGAAGTCCCTCGAGGCCTCTCCAGAATGCGCGCAGCCCCCCTTCGGCGTAGATGCTACGTGCAGTGGACCGGATCCCAGCCACCTGCCATGTTTATTGAAGGGTTTAGGGTTTGGGGTTTAGGGCGTACGGTTTAGGATTTAGGGTATAGGGCTTAGGGTTTAGGGTTTAGGGTTTAGGGTTTAGGGCTTAGGGTTTAGGGTTTAGGCAGTTTTCAAGCTTTGTGCTGGTTTGTATAGCGCCCTGAACGGTAAAGGGTGGATTGCTGCCGTTCTCGGTTTCGGGAAAGATCTATAAGACTATAGAGTTTAGGGTTGAGTGAACTTACTAATCACAAAACCCTATACGGGGGTTTTGGGTTTAGGGTTTGCGTGTCAGCGGAGCCTTAAGGCTTTGAGTCTTAGAGGGTCTATGCTTCTCCTATCGTACATAGCAAGTTTACCCAACCACTTTCTTAGCGTATCTCCTCTCCAATATAGCAGATGCTAACCATCAACCTAGGCATCCATCACAAGGTAGGATATGTCGCACTAGGCATGGGCGTTAGGGCTTCTAGTAAAAGCTTCCTCCACAGAAACGGATTGAAAGAGCTGTAGCACTAGGTCAAGTGCGACTTCCCTAAACCCTAAGCCCCTTAACCCTAAACCGTGAACTCTGCGGCATCCTCCTGCACAAAACCCTAAACCTCTTTACGGAGTTCCACCCGACGTGCAGGGCTCCGAGTCTAAAGTCATTCAAACGCTCGTATGCGGGACCTCCTAGACCCAAAGAAGCGTCATGTTTTGGAAAGACCCGGTTTAGGGTTTAGGAGGGTCCCGGTACGCAAATACTTTGGGCCCAATGTAGCTACATAGGGAGTACTTCAAGGCCAATAAACCTAAACCCTAAACCCCTAACCCCTAAACCCTAAACCGCAAACCCTAAACCCTAAACCCTAAACCCTGAAAGGAGACGTAGCAGGAATGTGACTAGACCCGTCTGCCTCGGCTCCGTGGAGAGGAAACAGTTGCATTTGGATCACCTGTGGGTTTAGGGTTTAGGGATTCTTTTTTTTGTTTTTTTTCAAAAAAACAAAGGTTTAGGGTTTAGGGTCTCTTATTAATCCCCTTCAGTTATATTTTAAGATCAGAAAATAGAACATAATTTCTAAGAGCAGTAAAGAAAAGAGGTTGAGGGATTAAGGGTTTAGGGTTTACGCTTCAGGAATTGCTCTAAACCTCAGCAAGCTGGAAAACTAGAACACTGATAAACAGTGTACCTGGTATTCATTACATAGGCCCTGCCCAGAAGGCATGAGTGCAGGTTACTGTATACAAGGTCCAGAGTGTAGGCTTGCGTACCGGGCTCAGGGTCAAGAGTTCAGGCTTCTTCAAACTTGTTATGGACAGACATGTGGGAATTTCCGAAGATAGGGGCACCATATTTGGAGGTCCTTACAATAAGGATCCTACTATTTAGGGTACTATCTTAGGGTCCCCTATTTTCGGAAACTCCCATGTACTGTACTTCTTAAGCCAAACCAGAAACCCTGGCTCTCCAGATCTCGTGTGGTACTACGATTGATGATATGAATCCTGCATTACCCTAAGGACCCTAAACTATGGGAATTATGGTATATTCTTTATTCTGGGTAATGCAGGATTTATATCATCAACCGTAGCACTTATAAATCACAAGCCGTAAACCCTGTAAGCCACTGTAAGCTCTGCATCCAAAGCCCCTCTAAACCTAAACCCTAAACCCCTAAACCCTAAACCCCTAAACCCTAAACCCCTAAACCCCAAAATCTCTCTGCCAGGCTATCAACCAGCACGTGTGAGCCGTCGGAACTGGACATGCCTACTGAGCAGCCTCTGCCACCCCAAGACTCAGAGATTCTTAATATAGGCCGGGCCTTAATAATTAGAATAGGGTTTTGGGGCCCCTTGCACTGTCATCATCATAAGGAACCACCAAAATAGTATAGGTAGATATGTAGGCCCCTATATTAGGTGTCGGGATCATTAGGATAAGGCTTTGGGACATATTGCAGCTTGTAGTTGTATGAAGGAACGCTAGTACTAAGGAATGATTAAATTGGGTGGTTGTCAAAACTAGGGTCCCTTTTGGGGTACCATAAATATTAGGTGCCGTATTGTAATAGGGACCCAAACAGGGACCATAATTTTGACAACCACCCATCTGGTTCCCAAGCTTGCCGATGAACCCCCGCAACACTAGGATACCCAGTAACCTAAGAATAAAAAAGGCCTCTCTTTTTGGTATTGGGTAACTTTATAAGGAGCCTAGGACTACAAAAAAGGAATAAGGGTACTACTGGGCATCCTAGACAACCACCCATCTGGTTCCCAAGCTTGCCGATGAACCCCCGAAAAACTGTCTCCGCGTCACCCTGGACCCTAAACCCTAAACCCTAAACCCTAAACCCTAAACCCTAAACCCTCAAGCTTGAAGCCCGAAACTCCTAAACCCAAAGGCCTAAAACCCTGCACCCTATAAACCCTCATCCCTAAAACTCCACCCTGAAACGCCAAGCTCTGACCTAAAACCCAAAACTCTACTAAGGACCCTAAACCCTTCTAGAAACCCTTGAAGAAAGGACCCTGAACCCTTCTAGGAACCCTTAAAGAAACCTTAAAAAGGAACCCCTAAATCCCCTATAAGCCCCAAAACACCGTCCGAGCGTCAATTCTGCTCAGTGGAGCGACCATGGTCTTGGCGAAGCAGCCGGAGAGGCCTCCTTCGCAGTAAGGGTTCGGTTTAAGGTTTCGGGTTTAGGGCTTCCTTGAAGGGCTCCTTTAAGGGATCTATAGGGAATCTCTATCTGAAGGGTGTATAGGGCTTATATGCTTTATAGGCTTCTTTATAGGGTTTATTTATAGGGCTTATATGGTTTATAGATTTCTTTATAGGGTTTATTTATAGGGCTTATATGGTTTATAAGGTTCTTTAGGATTTTTATTTGGAAGGGCAGGGGACTTAGTAAGTAGGTTATAAGTAGAGTTATAAGTACCCTAAATGGAGTTACCCCAATTATAACCCTACTTATAACCTACTTACTAAGTCCCCTGCCCTTCCAAGTAGGGTTTATAGAGTCTCGCGGCCTGCTTCGCAGATGGCGGCCGCAGTGCAGGAGCTGAGGTTTAGGGTTGAGGCGATTTAAGGCTGCGGGTAGAACGTGTTACTGTTGATGATAAAAATCCTGCATTACCTTAAGGACCCTAAACTATGGGAATTATGGTATATTCCTTATTATGGGTAATGCGGGATTTATATCATCAACCGTAGTTTAAACTTAAGGGTTTAACTGGCTCATGCAGACTCTCAAGGAGCCCTTAACGGAGCCCTTTAAAGGAACCCTTAAGCAGTTCCTTTGGCTTAGTCTAGGGCCTCATAGATACCATGAGACACTCTATTGGATTGTTGTCGGTACCTAGACTCCAATAACATCATCCCGAGGACACCTCCAAAAAGTTTAGGGTGTCGTGACCCAGGCCGCCCAACTGCACCCCAACACGCCCCAGAAAACACCCACCAATAGAGACCCTTGAGGGGCGTTGGGTGCAGGGTTTAGGAAGGTTTTGGATTTAGGGTTAAGGGTTTGAGGAGTTCCTAGCAGAGTGATAGCTTGAGCGTTCGGGGCCCTCCTTGAACGCCAAAAATCACTGGTCTTATCACTCAAAAACGCTTCTACAGCCACAGGGCATGAGCCGTATTACTTAGCAAAAGAGTGGAGTTTAGGCATGGACAAACTGAGTTATATCTATCCGGAGACTATATGAGTATATGGAAACTACTACTACGCCTTGCTCCAACTCTTATATCAAACAGCTGATGGCAAAGTTGGACTAGGTTCCCCGGTAGCCCCCTAACAATACAAGGGTACCCATTTTCCCTACTATTTGCATTGAATAAGGACCAAGAAGAAAAAAGTGCAAAAGGGTACTACTGGGAACCTAGTGGAGAAGCAAAACACCATGGTGCTAGGATGAAGAGACAGTTCCTGCACGCTGCTCTTACGGTGGCTGAGGGCTGGGGGCTTTCCGGGTTAGGTTGAAAGTGTCGTACGAATTCAACCCTGAACCTAGAACACAGGCTAAACCAGATCTGTTTGAAACCATCCGGTTTCTGTACACTTCCAGGAAAAGAATGGAAACAACGAGGACCCTTACGGGGGTAGGGTGGAGGGGGGTAGGGGTCCTTAATACCTATAATTGCCTAAAATAAAGACTTAAATAATACTGTAAGGCCCATTGAGGGAAGTATAATAAGACTTATTTAATAAGGCCCATTGAGGGAAGTATAGTAGAACTTGATTAATAAGGCCCGTTGAGGGAAGTATAGGCCCTAGCCCCCAACGGGCCCCTATGAGAAACGGAGACTCAGCCTAAGAGATCGCTGTGCTGTTGCTATGCTGCTCGGATCGAGTCATAGAAGTTCGCCTTACATCTAGCCCTATGCCAGGATCCGCAACTGTAGGCTGCAAAAAAGTGAACCCTAAACCCTCAACTTTACACATCCCGAAACCGTGCTTAAAAGCGCTGAAATCCGTCTCAAGCCCCAGCGCCTAAAGCAGCCCCGCGCAGAATATGTGTCTGCGATTGCGTGGTCGCCTCCTTTCGTGGTCTTCCAATAACATGGGTCTAGGTCACTGCTAGTTGTTTCGAAGCATGAATCTTTAACCCGCTCACACACAATATGGGAGTTTCCGAAATTAGGGGTACCTTATTTGGGGGTCCTTATAATAAGGATGCCACTATTTCGGGTACTATATTAAGGGTCCCCTATTTTCGGAAACTCCCAACCCCAAACCCTATACCCTTAATAGAACCCTTATATAGATCCCTAAAGGAGTCCTTAAAGGGTCCCCTATTTTCGGAGACTCCCATATTTACCCAGCGAGGGAAACGCCCAAGTTAGAGCTGCTACTGGAGCTGCGGTCAAGTGTTCCAGTTTAGGGTTTAGGGGTTTAGGGGTTAGGGTTCAGGTGTTTAGGGTTTAGGGTTTGCTTGCTCTCGGTGACTTCGTCCTACTTACGGGATCATGGTTGCCCCAAGGCCTTTGAAAGACACGTTGCAAAGACGGCTGTGATGTTTAGGACACTTCGCAAGTGGGTAGGGTAGGCGGCTCTCTGTGCTGTTCTAAATCGTGGTCCCTTTAGGGATTCCTGCTCGAGTGCATTCTCGGTACAATAAATACCTGTACACGGAACTCTCCTCATCTAGAACAACCACAACTCGGTCTAGTGTCGGGTGGTCCGAGTTTTGTGGTTGCTGCAAGGATTCGGAGCTGACAGGTATCATGTGCAACCCCTGGTACAAGATCAGAGATTTTGGGTGGTCACTACGACGGCCAGGGTCCTGTTATCACGACAAACTATTAACTTGTGCGATGACTAGTCGCAAATTGGGGCTGGTGTCAGTATTGTCATCACCCTCCAACCACCTTCCTTCTTGGTACTCCTACTGATTGACCACTGCGTATTTGTGGCTACCAGCGATATGATGGCTGTGTTCAACTGTTGCTGCGATCCTCGCGATGACTAGGATGATGGTGATGACGAGGATGAAGGTAGTGATCATGATGGAGGTGGTGATGGTGGTGGTGGTGATGATGATGATGAACATGACGATGGTGACGGTATCGACAACAGACTCCGTGCTGTCATGGTCGCCATAAAGACATTGCTGCCTCAGGATGACACAGCACTCATATTTCGTTCTCGAAAAGAGGTATGGGAGCTTCCAAAAATAGGGGACCCTAATATAGTACCCTAAATAGTAGGATCCCTATGATAGGGACCCCAAAATTAGGTACCCCTAATTTTCGGAAACTCCCGTATTGGCCTGGACCGTCATACAAGCAGAATTGCACTGGATGCCAGCGCAGGCGGTGCTGGACATGGCCCCGCAGATTTCTTCGAGATCCTACGTATTTGGTTAGTAGGGAATGGAAGAATGGTAGTAAAAGTATAGTTATATGGTAGTAATCTGATAGCAATTGGTAGTTATATGGTCGTAGTGGTAGCTATAATTGTACCCCATTCCTCCATTCCCTACTAACCAAAGGTAAGTTAAGACGTGGGCTGGGCTGAAGTGTTCATCGCCGTGTCAACAGTTTCCTAAAGCCCAAAAGAAAAAGAGATCTGTCTGAATCTATCTGCCCCTCCAAAGGTAAACGAGATCTATCTGAATCTATCTGCTCTTCCTACTACATACAGAGTGCTGGGAGCCAGACAGCGTATAGGTTTTCACTCTAATGTACACGGTTTGGGGGCTTTAGGGTCAGCGTCTGAGGTCGCGGGCTTTCCGGCTTCTGAAGCAAAGCACATCGCTAAGACTCGAAACTTAAAACCCGAACCTAAGACCGTACACCCAAAACCCTAAAACCCTAACCAATCGAAAGGACCGACCAGAACCCTGGCAGAGTCTTAGGAGGGCTGAGGTGGTTACAGCTTGATTATAAAGCTTCAGGCCTTGCGTCTTTCGGGCTTAGAGATTTGGGCCTTGCTTAGGAGGGGTTTGCAGGCCCAGGGCTTCTACTTGGAGGATCATGGGACTTAGCAACTAGGGCTATAAATAAGGTAACTATACTTATAACTCCAATTAAAATACTTTTAACCTTACTTACAAAGCCCCATGATAATCCAAGTAGACCCTAAACCCTAAACCCTAAACGATCCCTTTAAGGAACCCTATAGATCCCTTTAAGGGACCCTATAGCTCCCTTTAAGGAGCTGTCTGTCGGCTTCAGGAATTGGGGCTTCGTTGAGGGCCGTTTTGCAACGCCACGGAGGGAGGATGTGAAGTATCAACGGGGAACTAGGCTTCAAATTCCCAAAAGCTGAAAAGGAGGGACCCTTATATAGGGTTCCTTAAAGGGATCTATTACTATACTAGGGATCTATAAGGATTCTATAAAGGGTTTAGGGTTTAGGGTGTAGCAAAGGGGAAAAGGAGGGACCCTTACTGGGGACCCCTGCCCTGCAATGGGCTATATGATGGGTATATACTAGCTATATTAAGGGTATATACCTATAGGGGTCCTTATTAAGGGTCCCTGCTTTTACCCTTGGAAAGTAGAACGGTTGCCAGTTTAGTGTAAGGAACAGTCATTCTCTGGCACTTGGAGCCATGCTTGGAGACTATGCCATGGAGGTGGGGATATTATAGGAGCCTCGATATTCAAAGCGTGTTTGGGGGGGGGGGATATTATACTAATATTTGTACAAGCAGCCCTGAGGAATAGTAGTCAGTGGTGATTAGACATTTCTCGCCCCAGCATTACTGTTCTAAAGCCTGACCCCTTTTGGTCAAATTACCCCCTGGTTATGACAAGCTGTTTAGAGCTATGTTAGCCCAACAGTTCAACGGCAACACGCACATGTACGCACACACACACCCTGCTACAAATCGAAGCTCTTGCAAAAGGCCATGCTTGCTTGCATATGTACATGTGTGTATACATAATATAGTATACCTAGACCCTCCATCTACCCTCTATTAGACCCTAAATGCCCCTTATTTGGGACCATATACCCCTATTTGAGGGTACAAGGAGGGTCCTGGTACTATATCCTGTATCACATCTGCAGATCATTTTAAAACGCGACGGGGCCACTTTTTTGCACTGGGACCTCAGTCTCTGCTTCCTGGTGCCAGCAGCACGTGTTCGCCACCAGCCAGTGCATTAACTGTCCTTGCGGCAAAGGGTATAACTCTAGACCCGGCACTGGTGCTGCTCTGCGTGGTTTTGGGTTAGGGTTTCGAGGACCATACAAGGGCTCTGAAGTATAAGGTACCACGTCTCATATAGGGCTATAAGTATTATAGGATACCATCTCAAATACAAAATGCGTTATTCCGAACAGGGTTCGAAGAAAAGAAACACAGCCGCATGCTGTTCAGGGGTTCCTTCGTCCGCAACGGTTTCAGTATTTAGTATTTCTTGGGCTGAGAGGATGAAAGATGGGTTTGTACACGACTTTGGGTTTAATGCTGAGGGCCAAGGGCTAAGGGCAGGGGCTCGGCGTTAATGGTATCACAATTGCTGCTCTAACGGCAGCTGACCTTCTGCCCATCCTGGACATAGGATGGGACAAAGCCATATCAAAAGAGGAAACGAGAAGCAGGAAGCAGACTGCAAGAGGGAAAACACAAACCACTCCAAAAACGCAACACCTACATCCTAACCCCGAATCCCCTGCCCCTAAACCTTAAAACCTACCTCAACCCATATACCCTACTTTGTCAAAGGACTTATGTAAGGAAACCACAATAGGGAACCCTAAAACTAGGGTCCAGGTACGCCCCAGACCCTCATCCTTGCAAGCACAAGACGAAAAGAAGCAACCATGAGGAAGTCGAGGGCATTCCAGGACCCCCATCAAGTGCCCTTTGTTAGGTTTTCCGCATGAAAAGGTCATTCTGGGGCATAAATAGGCTGTGGGACTTAAGGATGCCCTAGATTATTCTTTTCGCGTCTTCTGGTCATTTTTGAAGGCATAGCGCGAGACAAGATCAGGGTTGAGGGTTTATCTCGGACTTGGGCCTGGGGCTTATACCCAAAGGGTCCTAGGTTTAGGGTTTAGGGATACTTCCCCAAATCATAACAATAGTAATTCCGAATGTAGAAACCCTACATTCTACTATGTAGGTACTTTGGACCCAAGGGGATAGGATCTAGGACGAAATACCCTGAACCCTGGAAACCTGAACCTTCCTTGGAGAATCATGCGGCTTGGCAGATAAGGTTGTAAGCACCCTCGTTGGAGTTGTAAGTAGCTGTAACTGTTACCAAGCCCCATGATCCTCCAGGAAACACCTCAACCCATAAAGCTCTAAACTTAAACCCCTGAACCCCGAACCTCCCAACCCCCAAGACCCAAAACGCTTAGTTGCTATCTTCTGTCTGTTTCTTAGCAGGGAATGGGGGGTGGATTATGGAGACTATTATTGGGGATTATATAGGGGCTAACTACTATAGGGATCCATTCCCCCATTCCCTACTAAGCACCAGCCCTAAAACCCAAAACGCTTGGTTGCTATCTTGCCTGCCTTGTGTTCAGTCTCAGTCGACGTCAAGCGGGTGAGGCAGCTGCCCAAGGCCACCGCACATCCTCACTTAGAGTGAACCGGTTCCTATGGGACGGTGTTTTGGGATTTATAAAGGCTCTAGGATTCCATTTAGGGTTTCTTTAAACGTGTATATATATATATATACATATATATATATATATATATATATATATATATATAGGATTGAGGGTTACCGCTGTGGGGCCGCGGGGGGGTTTAGGGTTTATAGGGTTGAGGGTAGGTGAAAATTAAAATAAACTGAATGTACATAAATCATTACAATGTTAGTTTAGGGGTTTAAGGGGTTTTAGGGTTGAGGGCTTTGTCGTGAGGGTTGTTGAGGGTTTAGGGACTGGTGTTTCGCGCTTGGCGTATACAAGGCTACCCCACCCGCTGAAACCCGTACAAGCCCCCTTGAAACCAGTACAGAGCATGCTCAGACCATATATGGGTGGTTCTCAATATTATTGTCCTTTTTTGGGTACCCTAAATATTTGGTGCCGTATTACAATAAGGACCCATAAAGGGACCCTAATGTTGATAGCCACCCATATGCTGAAGTGCTCTGTTGGGAAGATCAGGGAACTTATGAAGGACATCCTACACCCCAAACCCCCAACCCTACACGGCAGTAATCTATGATTGGCGTGTTGATACCGCGACCCGAACCAGCAGAGCCATCACCAGTCCCAGCACATCCACCATCCCCACTGTCGACACCGCCGACACCACCAGCACCACTGCTGCAACATCACTACCTCCCCCATTGCAACAATCACCATCAAAACTAGTTCATTGTTGGGATAGGATTAAAAATGTACATTTTTATTCCTTATTGGGTTTAAGTACCCATAAAAATGTAAAATGTTACCCAACAGTGACAAAGAAAAAGTGAAAACTCTGAACCCCGAGGGCCTGACGCTTAAACTTTAAACACCAAAGCTCCGAGCCCGAAACGCCTACAGCGAGAAGCGTCCGAACCTTTAGTACACTTTCCAGCGATAAACCAGAGGTGCCCATGATGTACGATACGGTTTTAAAGCTGCCATAGCCTTCGAAAAAGCCTATAAATAGCTGCAACCACAAAACTCTGGTGTTGAAGTGTCCCAGAAATATGAAATGCTGCTGTTGTGGGGACACTCCTGGGGAGAGATTGCCGAATGGTTGGGTAATGATGCTCTGGAAGTAGCTGGGTAGCACTTCGGAAAGCAACTTTGTGAACCCTGCCAAACCCAACTTTCCCGACCTGGACAAAGTGAAACTGTAGGCTGCCTATCGCTTCGAATCAATGAGTCCTTTTGAGAGGAGCTGGCGCAAAACGCACGTCTTTCACTAGCCGTTTCAACCGCACCAACTCAACAACCCACAAAGCCACAGGAACTGCGAAAGCTCGAAGGCTTAATTAAACGATATTAAAATCTCAAACACCACCCCACCAGAAACTGAAACCCATGAACAACTACCCCAAAGGGTCCAAGTATCATTATGGCATATACTTATAAGGTCTTTTGGGGGGTCTAAGTATATACCATAATGATACTTGGACCCTTTGGGTACACCGCCTCAGCCCCAAGCCTCAAACCCGAAATTTGTTGAAACCCCTGATTTGCGAGGACAGGCGCTTGGCAAAGAGCTCTTGGGCATCGGAGTCCAGTTGCTTTTGCCGCCTCCTCACCTCGAAACGGTTTGGGTTTGAGGGCTTATTAACTTTAGGGTTTCAGTGTTTTGGGTTTTCTGGCCTGCAGGGCTTAAGCCTCATGTTTGGCGAATCTAAATAGCCGGTGCATCGTAAACCCTGCAGTGTATGCCACGTGGCAAATTTTGAACAACGGCCACCGAAACTAAGCAGTGCGGACCGTAGCGGCGTGTGGCAGGGCCATTCCCACCGTCCCAGCCGCTGTGTCACAGAAATTCCGGCTTCACCGAGTTCTGTGACATGTCACAAGAAACTTCGCATGACGTATAAGATGTGTCCCTTGACGTGAGATGCCCCGCCACCCACACACCCCGGTTTGAGGTGGAGCTATCTTAGCGGAGATCGTCAGCGGCTGCGCCGGAACACACCCCACACATAAACATCGAAGCTCTTAGGCCCTGCCTGCGGAGCCAGTAACCTTGCATTTCAGAGGATGCAAGTACGCCCTGAACCCTCGGGCATAAAGCCGGAAGCTGAACAACAAGTACTGCAACTCGGGCCAAAGTATATACGGTATGGGTTCATGCACCCTTATATGGCCCCGTGACCTGACCCTGACGCTTATCGTCTGGCCTTGTTCGAGTCGCCTGCTCAACTTGTATGCAAAACCCTAGACCGCAAAGCCCCAGATACCCGAAACTCGGATACGTATAATTACGACTCCCGAGACACGCAAAGCTTAACCCTAAACCCGCCTTGTCTCGGAGCTGTGTCAGCTCTCTTGAGGCACCCGGAAGCACCTTGTGCAAAGATTCAAACATCCCTGGGGGAAGGGCCCATTGTTTTTGGGGTTTGGGTTTGGGTTCAGGGATAAAAATCTTGTGTTTTTCGCGGAAGAGGTTGTAGAGATTACTTGAAGGATCAAAGGGCTTCGGAATCATGTAGTTCCAAATGTACTAAAACGCTATCCCTGGACCCTCAGACCGTGATAGTAAGATTTCAGGCACCAGAAACCACTCTGGGTATGGAATCGGGGACCCTATTTTATGGGTACTTAGACCCTCTGGGAAACTTATGTACTTGGGCTAAAGGAACCTCCAAGTTGGTACCCGTGGCATTTGGAGTCTACCTGCATGCTACCGGTACTGAAGCCCTTGAAAGTACGGAGACAGCACTTCAGTTTCAAGATTGTTACCCAAATAGCCCAGCACCACTTCAAAAGGCATTATCTGTTGACATGTGACCGGATCCTCAACATGCTCCTTAAAAGTAACTTGCTTATTTACATACTGGGCTCTCTGCGATCTTTAATCACGCTCAACGCTAAAACGTAAGCCCTTCGGCCCTATCGGAATCTTTTGCTAGAATGTGGAGGACATTCCTGGATGAAGGTTTGTTGAAAACGGGGGCCTAAAGGCCTATTTCCACACAACCGCATACAGCCCTGTAAAACCGTGATATGAAACCTTCTAAAACCCAATGAAACCTCTGGGAGTCTCGACACTCGGATCTGCAGGCACTGTTTGAGAGACATCGGTCTATTTATGTAGGTTTGTGGGGCTTTAGAGCTTGAGGGATAAGCAGAACAGGGCTTTGGAGCTATATTATGCCTCAATGAAGAGTATGCTATTTTAATGTTATGGTTTCAGGTTTGGGACTGGGAGACTTCTGTCGGGGGTTCAAGATTGGTTGGTTGGTTTCAAGACACCGGTGTGTAATCTCCGGACAAAGAAGAAGAGCACTTGGTGCTTGCACTGACAGGTGCCCACCACCAGACAGCCAAGCACCCAGGGTTTTCATACCTCTGCAGGATCTCCATAATCTGCACGCGCCCTCGCACATAGCCCTTGCGAGAGCCAACGTTCGCGAACCGCGGGTTACTGGGCAGTACAGCAAGATCTTCAAGGTTGCGGCAATGCCTTCTCGTCGGAACTTGTCCACATGCAGTACTCACATGTGGGAAACAGCTGGTATACGGCATACGCCTTGTTGTAGAATATGCAGTGGCGACCGGAAGAGGTGGGGATTTAGATTTTCGGGTCTAGGCTTCGGTTCTAGGAAAAATGCGGGTGAGGGATGGCAGGCTCAACATTATAGGGGCCTTTATAGTCTTGGAGCAAGGCCATGTTTTTTCGGTCCCAGCTTCACTTCTTACCTATGAAGTTATCAAGGAGCCGTAAGGAATAATATTGGCAACTATTCAAGGCCTCTATATTGCTTCTTTAGCATTTGGGCCCAAGAACTCTCGCAGAACAAGTGTCGCTTCAGCACTGGAATAGGGGAGACACATGCAAAGGTCTCTGCCGCTGGGCCTCTTTAAAGGATCATGGGACTTAGTAATTGGGGTTATAAATAAGGCAACTATTATACATACAGTTACTTATAACTCCAATTCGGGTACTTATAACCGTACTTACTAAGTCCCCTGATCCTCCAAGTAGGCTTTGGCGCTGTAGGGCCTTTGTGGAGCCGAGCACCAACACAAGCCTCAACCCGCGAGCCAGAGTCCTCAACGCTGTAGAACTTCTAAATCTAAACGTCTAAACCCCTTTAGGGCCTAGAGAAAACGGTTTGAGGTTAAGGGTTTTTAGGGTTGCGAGTCTTAGGGCTTGGGTGTTTCATGGGTTTTCGGGATTTAGGCTTTGGGATGGGATGTCCAGGATGTCGGCTACAGGGTGGGCTTGCGTGTGTTGATATCTGGCTGACTAAGCCTGGGCTCACAGGCTCGAGCCCAGAACAAGAAGAGAACTTCAAATCTTCAAAACGGTGCGTATAGCAAAGACCCGAAGCTCCAAACCCTAGTTGCACCCGAAGCTTAGGTTTCCATGAAGCAACCCCATACGCGAGCTAGCTCGCGCCTTAATGTCTCGCAGCGCGGATGCACAATCATCCAAACCTTGCCATGCCGGCTTGTTTTAAGCTAGCAAAATGCGAAAATGTAAAGGGTTCAAGGGTTCGGGGATAAGGGTTCAGAGGTTGCAGAGACAAGGTTTCAGGGATTGAGGGCCCCTGAACCCTGCACCCTGAAACCCCCAGTGCCAACTGTTTCAAGGGAGTTACAGAGGCTTCGGTCGGCTCAGAAAGTTCGGAGTCGTTGTTCGAGGGCCTTTAAATCAGGCACCATCTAGAGATTGTACTCTCCCGTAAGGATGCCTATACCTTATTCCGGGATTACGAAACATACGACAGTGTTTGATGAAGCAAATGGTTATCAGAATTAGAACAGAGTTTTGGGGCCCGTTATACTCTACTTACAATCAGGAACCCCCAAAATCGTATTGGTAATTCGTATCTATTCAGGCGCCTATAGTAAGTGTGCTGCCTAGAGCCCTTCAAAAAGCAGCTCTCACGTATGCTGACCCTAAACGCAAAAGCCCTACAACCTTTGCACTGAAGCCCACTTGAACAAAACGCAGTGTAATATGATCTGGAGCTGTGTGCGCTCCGGTGTCATTAAGACGTGTAAGAGCACCAATGATCGATCCTTGACCATGGTACCCTTCGAGTGCTCCCTTCAAGAATCGCTGGCACTCTGGTTCAGTGTTATCTGAGCCAAAGCCCAAAGCTACCAACTGCACAAGCTCGTTGTCTGGCTTCAGGCCCGCTTGCTTGCCAACTGGAAAGCTTGAGCTCATGACTCTGATGAAGTGACCATCTCGAATTGGCTTGTGGTGATCTGCTCCTTGTGCCATCTGCTTTGCCAAGACTTCCTTTGGTGGCATCTTGTAGGTAGGGGGTTTTGGTGCTCTCAAACACCCAAAGTTAGCCGGGGCTATGTCAGACACTTCTGTCTTCTTCAAAGCCCGCAACGTAACCAATGCTGATTGCACCTGCTCAGGTGTGGACGCGTTATCCAGCAACGTGAGCGTCCCCGACCTTTGTGCAGAGCTCACTTTCTTGAGGTCATCCTCCATTCCATCGAGACCACCGGTTTTGGTTAGGCAGCGGTCGGCCATGCCTTCCAACTGCTTGGTTACCGCCTCCGTGATCTGGCGGTTTAGGGTTTATAGGGTTCAAGGGTTTAGGGTTTAGGGCTTAAGGTTCAAGGGTTTAAGGGTTTAAGGGTTTAAGGGTTTAGGATTTAGGGCTTAGGGCTCTAGGACTTCATGGCACATTGGCGGTAGGTGTGGGGCTTGCTTGTGGCATGTAAGGGTGTCTGTAAGTAAGTAGCTGTTGTAACTGTAACTCTACTATGTCCAGGGCCTCCGAAACCCGCAAGGAACAGTGACTGCCCAAACCCTAAACCTTGGCCTTGACCCCTGAACCCTCTACCATGAACCCTAAACCCTAAACCCAAAACCCCCAAACCCTAAACCCTAAACCCCTAAACCCTAAACCCCTAAACCCCAAACCCTCGCCCTACACCCTAAACCGTAGCTTCGAATCTCCCAGGGACCGAGGAAGGCTTCTGCGCGGCGGAAGAGACCTCCAAGGCGAAATGATTAGCTCAGCGGGATAACCTACAGTAAACCTTAGGTACGGCCCCCATACAGTAAGAGTCTATAATAGGGCTACTATTGAGGTCCTACTATATCTATATTATGAATATTATTCAACTATTACTGAGTGGGGGCCGTACCCAAAGTAAACCCCATAAAAGTCGGTACCCCTTAAAGGAACTCCCTATAGATCCCTTTAAAGTGAGTTGTTTTTAGTGCAATGAAGTAGGGTTTAGGGTTTAGGGTTTACAGTAATCCCCACCATGTTGGAAACCCGATTAAGGCCAAATAGTGCTGGGATTCCCTATACATCTCTCTTAAGGATTGAGGCTATTGGGTTTCCAACTTTTGGGCTTCTATTGTACTTGTAGCGATCGCACCATGATCTGCCCGGAACTGCATTCCGTGTTCGTGGATGTTCGTGGTTAGTTGGTGACCCTAAACCCTAAACCCTAAACCCTAAACCCTAAACCCTAAACCCTAAACCCTAAACCTATTAATCTCTGTAAGCTCTAAACCCTTTGGGTTTCGGAGTCTGTGGCATGGGATCCTGCGACTTGATTCTGTTGAACCAGGCAGCCACGAGCTCAGCGGTGCGTCTTTATGGTAAAGCTGCCGCTCTGCCGCATGCAGATGGCAGAGATATGTGCTATAACTGCACCCGAAACTGTTAAAAACATAAAGCCTGCCGGCCGTAATCCCAAATAACCGAACTTTTTGGGCTTCATCGTGATTTCCCTGCTATACCTATAGTCTCCATTGTAGTTCTCTTTTTGGGGTTACCTTATAGGATCCTTACTATATAGTTGGTTAAACCAAAAAAGGAACTACAATGGAGACTATAGGTAAGTTTTGAAGCTCCTGGTAAAACCTTAAGCCCGAAGCGGTGAACCTTCACACCACCAATCTTGAACATACTTGGGAGTTTCCGAAAATTGAGGGTACCTTATTTGGGGGGTCCTTATGATAGGGGTCCTTCTATTTAGGGTACTACATTATGGTCCCCTATTTTCAGAAACTCCCACTTCCATACACCCTGAGCCTGAACGACAAGTCCGGAGGGTCCATGTCCCCATGTAGGATATACCTGGGCCTTACAGTAGTCCCGAATAATCCCTGAACAAATACTTTAAAGCCAAAGTATATGCTACATGGGTAGTTGTCAAAATCAGGGTCCCTTTTTGGGTCCTTATTCTAATACGGCACCTAATATTTAGGGTACCCAAAAAGGCGCCATAATTTTGACAACCACCCACATGTGAAACTCTCCAACCTAAGTGGGGTCCTAAACCCTAAACCCTGCAAACCCCGAAACTAAGCTTTGCAGAGCGAACCCCCCTAAACCCCAAACCCTAAACCCTATATAAACCCTGAACCCTACATCCAAGTAAAGCCCTGCCTTTTTCGTTGGAAGGTTCCATGTCGAGCACGAGGTCACAAGCCTGCACGGCTCGTTTGAAGTAGCCCGCCTCCAGCAGAATTGAGGGGTGTTGTTCTGTTTTTGTGGGGCTTCCTTTTTGGATTTCGGGGGTTTGCGTTTGGGGCTTAGGGCTCGGTCTAGGGTTTCGAGTTTGGGGTTCGGGATTTGGGGTTCAGGGTTCAGTTTGAGGATTTAAGGTAAAAGCCAGAAAGTTGGAATATGATTTTCCTAAACCCTTTATGGTAAATTATAAGGTATCCCACCCTGAAACCATATTCCAACTTTCTGGAGTTCCCTTTAGATTAGAGTTGGACATTCAGGATTTGAGGTTCGGCATTTACCTTTGGCGCTTGGGCCCCCCCTTACAGTCCGAAAACCCTACGCAAACCACAACGCGGAACACGCTTAAACTCAATGACCAACCCTAAACCCTAAACGAAACAAGCAATACTGATGGGAGGCCAAAAGGTGGTTTAAGATTCTTGGGGTATGGATTCCTTAATATGAACCCTAGTATGGGAACCCTAATCCCTACTGAACCCCCATAGGCTAAAACCCCTTTTGGCCACCTATGAAATACTAGCTGCGAGTATAACTATATCAACCAAGGAACGAATACTACTGACCCCAACATTGCATGCGGCAAAAAGGGCCACAACCTCGGAAATTTTGGGCTTTTGACTTCTCTAACCCTGAACCTTAAACCTCTGGGTCTTAAACCCTAAACTAAACCCTAAACCCCTAAATTTATATCTTAAACCCTAAACTAAACCCTAAATCCTAAACCAGTGCTTTTTTAAAATGACGAGGTGACTTTTCCGTCTTTTGGGTCAGAGCTCCGAGCCTTGTTCAAGCAGAGCGCGCGGTTGAGTAGGCAAGCCTTTTTCCTGAGCAATGGCTTATAATGAAAGATTTCTACATATGACATAATACAGGTTCACACACTGTAACACAGTAGAACAGAACAGAATGCAGAAGAAAAGGCTACAATATAATGGAACAACAGCCACGTCATGATATAGTATGACATGATACATTGTATATAATACAATAGAGTATGGTACAGTCAGCTATAGTATAACAGCGTGCAGCATGGTATGACGTAGCATGCAGCATGTTATGACATAGCACCTTGTATTGTGTTTGTACTATAGCACAATACTTTCCAGTGCAGCTGTTGGTGCTCAAGAGAGTCAAAGGTTTGTAGGGTGGAGGGTTTAGGATGTAGAGTCTACCTATAGTCTCCATTGCAGTTCCTCCTTGTGGTTACTTTAAAGGAACCCCCAAAAGGGACTACAGGGAGACTATAGGTAGGTAGGAGTCTACGGCCCGGCTCGACAAGCTCACGTCTAACATAAACTGCATACCTAAGGTCAGCAAGTTTCAAGTTCTCCGATTGGATATCTAAGTGTATTCCTATGAAGGCCTGAAAAGCGGACCGGTTTGGGTGGGTGTATTATGGTATAACGCGGGACTGCATACAACTTCTATTTATATTCGAGGTCAAGGCTGCATTTCCTGGGGACCCCAGCCAATTCGAATAGGAAGTTTCGGGGGGTACATGACAATATAGCTATGATGAGCAAGGAGCCCTAGGAATACCCTGGTATTTATTCCCGCCTTGATAGGGGCCGGAACCAAGATTAGCAACGCTAAGCCCCTAACTTGTCAGGATAAACCCTCAGCTGGCAAACCTGATGTGATCCCTTGCTGTAGGCACCTTCGTAGGAATGAACCCTGCTAGGAATCCGTGTGGGAAGCTTTCTAGGAACCTTTACTGGAGGAAGGTGGTCAGCGGAAACAACACCTAAAACATATATGGATGGTTGTCAACATTGGGGTCCCTTTTTGGGTCCCTAATATTTAGGGTACCCCAAAAAGGAACCCTAATTTTGACAACCACCCATATACGTTCTTAACTCTAAACCGTACCCGAAAACAAGAGCTTGCACCTAAAAGCCAATCAAAAAACCCAATCATCAAACAAAAAGAAGCCCTAAAAACCAGAGCGGAACCTTAAACCCTACAGCAGACAAACAGCCTAAACCCTCAACCCTATGGAACCCCAGACCTCCTGGAACCCTGAACCCTAAACTCTAAACCCTCAATCCCTTGATGCAAACATGAAACTCCAAGAAAACACAAGAGCAGCTCAAGCCCAAGCCATCAAAATCACATGCAACCCTAAAGCCCTAACCCCTACATCCTAAACATCAAAGCCCCTATATAAACACAGCCAGAGAACAGCTCGCCGACTTGTTTCTGCCGTCCTTCGCCCCCGCGGACACCGCGGAAGTCGTCGATGTAGCCCAGCTGCTCCTCAAAGTTCACTCCAAGGGCCCTTTTTTAAAGTGACTACAGGGACTCTTTTTTTGGGGGGGGTTTAGGGTTTAAGGTTTAGGGTTTATAGGGCTCTTCTGAAAGTTGCTACAGGGGTTTAGGGTTTAGGCTTTAGGGATTCAAGTAGTCCTTATTTATGGTTTTTGATACCTAAAACGGCGCTAAAGTCCTATTACAGGAGTACTTGGACCCTCTGGGTACTACAAGGATTACACTACGGTTCAGGACTTGCTGGATGACGATTTAAGGCTGAATGATTACGGGGGTGTAGAGTTGAGGGACTCGGGCATAGCGAGACGAACCTCTCAACCTCAAATGCAAACCCCCATTCCAAGTTTATGACTTTGACCCTCAAGTACTTATCTGGGAATACCGTGAACGCCCTAAAAGGCTGAGGTATGTACTATATGGGTACATGGATCCTATAATCATCAATCCACGTGCTCATCCCCCAAAACCCAACAAGAATACACATAGTAAATAATGATAACAGCTTGACAGTTATCGCCATCACTACATAATGCTTGTGAAACACAATGAAAAATGCGAGTCAGCCAAGCATAATGCTAAGTCACAACGTAAATGCAAATGGTCGTAGTAATAGGATGTAAGAATCATAACGGTAAAAGTTGTGAAAGGCATACTGACCGTTATAGCTGCGATTATGATAGAGAAAATTTGCAAAGGCCATACCGAGCATACGCCAAAACAACTAATGCCTGCACTGGCAATATTAGCCAGACTAGCTCAGCTATAGTAACATTAACCGTAACAGCAACAGCATGAGCCATCAATACAGTCATAGACATAGTCATAGCCATAACAATGTGAAAGTCATGGCTAGACATCGGGATGGTCACGATAGTCACAGTAAGAGTGAACGAGTAGCAGCAGTGACCGTCATGACAATATGTTGCGTGAAAATGACAGCAACTCTTACGGGTCATAACAACAACGGTCTTAAGTGTAAGCAAATGTAAGCATCGTGCTAATAAACCATTAGGTTCCAAAAGTGGCTGAAACTGCACGCGCAGGTATGCGCCGCACTCCAACTACATGTCCGTCCCACCCGAACCACATGGTATCGGGTTCTGGCTTAGGTTGTCGCATTTAGACCAGAAGAATATGATCCGAGATGCGTAGATAAGCCGAAAACGATGCGCCGCCAAACGATATCGACCAGCCTGGCTACGACATCGGGAGTTTGTCGGGTTTACATAGCGTGTAAACACTGTGTGGAATAAGGCTTAGTATTAGGGCTTGAGGTCGGAAGATGCTGGTGAGCGTCGATGCAGGGTTTCTCGGCAAAGCACTCTGTCGAAGTTAAATAAAGGCTCATTAGGATCTTGGGCTGCATAGTTTTAGCTTCATGAATGTTCTTGATGCCTGGGCTAGCACTGATGCTTCTGCTGCTGCTACCGCTGCTACTGCTCCTGCCCGCTAGAGCGACTGCGACCGCTACTCTACTGCTGCAGCTCCAGCTACTGCTGCCGCTGCTGCCGCTACTGCTACTACTACTCCTCCTCCTCCTGCTGCTGCTTCTACTGCTACTAATATTATTATTATTATTATGATTATTATTATTATTACTATTATTATTACTACTACTACTACTACTACTACTACTACTACTACTACTACTTCTACTAGTACTGCTGCTCATGATAGGCCATGGTTACTGCTCACATTCTAGTGAAGTTTTTCATGGCCGCAAAAGGATGTTCGGGTTCAGCGTGATTTGGCTCAGGGCTATTTTGTAGGGACTGTAGTGGGGTTTGGCACAAAAAGCTTGAATGATTCGCCAGACCCTCCCAAAACCCAACCCTAAACCCTAAACCCCAAACGCAAAACCCTTGTATCAGGCGCCTGAGGGTCATTCAGATATGACACAAACAGAATCAAGACTCAACGACTCAACCCCAAACCCTGAACTGCAAGACCGAACAGGCATCTTTACTCAACCTTAAGCCCTAAAGCCGAAACCCCTAAAGATACCTTCTAGAAACCTAGAGCCTACACCCTAAACACAAAACCCTTAAGGAAGCCCTTAATGAACCCTAACACCAAAGTGACAAAAATACCTTGAAGAGCTCGGTTGCAGCAGACTTGCGGCTGGTCAACACCTGATCTTAAAGCCATAAAGCCCATAATTAAGGGTTTTGGGGTTTAATGTTTAGGGTTCAGGGGTTAGGGGTCTAGGGTTTAGGGTTTAGGGTTTTGGGGTTTTGGGGTTTAGGGGTTAGGGTTTAGGGCCTTAGTAATTAGAATAGGGTTTGGGAGTATAGTACACGATAGCTAGAATAGCGAACCCCGAAAAACGTAGTGGGAATTATTGAGGCCCCTTTTTTAGGCCAAGCCCATACCAGCACCTCCCGACTACCATTTATTAGAGCCCAAGTACCCACTATGATGGGCTGCAAGGCCTCTATTCAAAGGGCCTAAACCCTAAACCCTAAACCGGTAGCCTTCAGGGCCTGTGGGGCTTGGAGTGCGAGGCCTCCTAGAGAGTACCAAACCCTGTAGTACTTGGAGGGGCAGGGGACTTAGTAAGTAAGGGCTCTTAAAAGGCTCCTTGAAGGGATCTATAGGGTTCCTTAAAAGGGATCTATGGGGTTTAGGGTTTAGGGACTTAGTAAGTAGGTTATGAGTAGAGTTATCAATACCCTAAATCGAGTTACCCCAATTACAACCCTACTTATAACCTACTTACTAAGTCCCCTGGCCTTCCAAGTATGGTATTTGGCTTAAGTTGAGGGCTTCCTTCTGTTGAACTCCTTGTCGGGCCATGTTGGGACCAAAAAGGGATCCTAATTTAGAAAACTACCCACATCCTCCGAACGAACACAGGGCCCCCGGAGCCAGGAGTGCTTTTCTACGCGATAGACAGGGACCTAATAGTTCGATAAAGGTTCCGGGCCTAAAAAACCTATACTTATAATATGGAGCCCCAAGAATAGTGTTACGGCTGATGATACAAATCCTGCATTACCTTACGAGCCTAAACTATGGGAATTATGGTACAGTCCTTATTATGGGTAATGCAGGATTTATATCATCAACCGCAGTATTGATGTAAGCGTCCTATTGTAGCAGCCGTTGGAAAAGACCCCTCACTTGGAGGGTCGGGGGACTTAGTAACTGGATATTTTAGGGACTTATAAGTACCCTAACCCCAATTAGGGTCCCTTTTAGGGTACTTATAAGTCTACTTACTACCTACTTACTAAGTCCCCCGACCCTCCAAGCAGAACACCCTCAGTCACCACAATCGCCGGCCTTCCCTTCGCTGGGGGTGTCCGGTTTACTTGGAGGATCTTGGGACTTAGGGTTCCCTAAGGGGCTCCTTTTAAAGGGTTCTACAAGGGATCTATAGGGGTTTGGGGTTTAGGGTCTACTTGGAGGATGATGGGACTTAGTAACTAGGGTCATAAATAAGGTAACTATACTTATAACTCCAATTAGGGTACTGATAACCTTACTTACTAAGTCTCATGATCCTCCAAGTAGAGATGAGGGTTGAGGGTTTTGGGATCTATTCGCCCTGAAGTATGACGCGCGTCACCCTAAGCCCTGAACCCTCAACCGCAAACCTAAGAATTCCTAAACTTTCGCCCCAAGCCACCGAAACTTCCTTTCTCCAGTATCCCCAAAAGGAAGATGCACCCTGCTTCCTACCAGGGTGTAGGCTTTTTCGGATTTGGGGATCAGGGTTAGGAGGACATGCATCAAAACCGGGTTCACAGGGCTTTAGGGTTAGGGTTAGGAGCATGAGCAAGGACAACGCACTGAGATTGCACAGTGTGAGCAACTTCGAGAATCCGGGGACTTCGTAAACAAGGCTATAAGTACCAAAAATTGGAGTCATAGGCAATTGTAGTTGTAGTTACTGTATTTATCACCCTGCTTACTAAGTCCTATGATCCTCCAAGACACACACCAGCGCAGGGCACCCATAGCTCTGTTGTTTTCAGACAAACTTAGTAACTAGGGGTGTAAGTAGGGTGACTGTAACTTTTGTTAGGACTCCGTGCAACTCCCATCAGGATACTTCGACCCTTATTTACGAAGTCCCATGATCCTCCAAGTGGGGCATGACACTCGGATCAGGCTCAGCAGGTTTTCCGAGAGCGCATGGGTGAAACTCATCGCGATCATCGAGAAGGGGGGGGTGTCGAGAGTGGCATTCTCCCGAACATGGTGCCACTTGGAAGGGCAGGGGACTTAGTAAGTAGGTTATAAGTAGAGTTATAAGTACCCTAAATAGGGTTACCCCAATTATAACCCTGCTTATAACCTACTTACTAAGTCCGCTGCCCCTCCAAGCAGGGCCAGTGCCCTCAACCCTAAACCCTAAACCCTAAACCCTAAACCCTAAACCAAAAGGACGAGCTGGAGGACTTCCCGTGCAGCATTCGCCAGGGCCTCTGGGCCCCGCAACGCTCGCGAAGTGACGGCCATGCAGTGATGGCGGTTTAGGGTTTAGGGTTTAGGGTTTTTTTTTAAAAAAAGTGTAGTGGCCCTTTCTCCGTACGCATACAGGTCACAGAGCCTGCCTCGAAGAGAGACTTACACCTGAAAAAAAGGGTTTAGGGTTTAGGGAACCCTTCACGTGCTCCTGAAGAGCACTGGATGGCGATGATCGTGCATGTTCTGGTATAGGCGGGCCTAGGGTTTTGGAATTATAGGGCTTATATAGCTTGTCAGCTTTAGTTACGAGACCATGTTTAGGCTTCAGATTTAGTAACGAGACCACGAAATTAAAAAAAACAAAAATATATATATATATATATATATATATATATATATATATATATTACTGCCAGACCAAGAAAACCTAAACCTAAACCTGAAGCCTAAACTCTAAAGCCAGCCGATAAACCCCTAACGGAACCCCTAAAAGGAATTTCTAATGAACCCGAAGAAGACGCCCCAAGGAACGCCTACAGCAGCCCTATAGAAACCCTAAACCCTAAACCCTAAACCCCAAAACCCTAAACCCTAAACCCTAAACCCCAAAACCCTAAACCCTAAACCCTAAACCCTAAACCCCAAAACCCTAAGCCCTAAACCCTAAACCCTGAGGCCTCAAGCTTGCCCTCGTCGCCCGGTGGCGGCGTCACAGCGTCTCTCCGGTCCACCGACTCGAGATGGAGGCGAAGAAGCGCCTGGGGCCTTATCGTTCCTTTAAAGGGGTCTACAACTACTATTTGCTTAAGAGCCCCCAAAAAATAAAAAATATATTCCTTATTGGGGTAATATAGGGATTATTTTTTTTGGTGGTTTCTTAAGCAAATAGTAAACAAGGGGTACTATAAGGGATCTATAAGGGTACTATAATGATGTAGGAACCTGAAGAAACCTTCGGCATTTATTTGGGGCTCCTTGTATGAATCCTACTCTTTTGGGGTTATGTGACCAGGGAGTTTTAATGTAGGAACCTGAAGCTGGACTTTGAAGTAACCAGGGAGAAAAAGTATAGACTTTGATTTCATAATGGTTCCTTTAAGGAACAGGTACCAAAAAAGTGTTAAAGTATGTTACCCCAAAACCCAAAAGGAAGACCTTCGGCATGTATTAGGGTTCCTTTTCTGAAACCTACTATTTTGAGGTTATGGGACCAGGGTTTCTTAATCAGGTTCCTACATTAGCGCTCACGGTTCAGTGTTCCTTTGAGGGTTCGGTGACTGCAGGGGGTTGGAGTTTTGAGGGAGTGCCCAGACCTTCCAAAATCCCTTAGTTAAGGAATATACCTTAACTCTTATTAGGGATCCTATTATAATTTAAGGTATATTCCTTAATTAAGGGGTTTTAAAAGGTCTGGGTGTTTCAAGATTCAGGATTGATAATGCGCGCCTTGTTGCAGCGTGTAGTGGGGATTTTTTGACAGGGTTTGGTGGAGCTTTTGGTCTGTAGGGGTTTAGGATTCAGGACCTCGTTTTTGAGTTGGCCTAAACTGTAAAAACCCTAAACCCTAAGCCCCAAACCATAAACTCCAAATTTGCGGATCTTGGGCTCTATTAGTCTTTAGAGTTTGGAGTGCCCGGTGCGTACTACAGCACAACCTACTCTCAACTAAACCTGCTTCAAAACCTGAGAACCTCCAACTCCCAATTGCACTTTTTGCGTACTTCACTCTCGACGTGAACCCAGAACCCTAAATCCGAATCAACAGGAAGACCCAACCAAGCCTGGCACAAGTGCAGGCTTCCAGTGTTGCAGAAATCTTGCTTAAACCTCAAGCCACGTCAAGACGCCCCACCTAACATCCAAAGTAGATCACACACAGAGACAAAACGTGTAGCGACAGGGAAACCCGCACCAACAACACCTAAGCCGTTCACAGGTCTACAGCCCTTCCCGGAGCCTGTACCCTAAACACGTAACATAGGGGCCTTACTAATTAGAAAAAGGTTTCGGGCTATGATATGCTATAAACATAAGGAACCACCCAAAATAGCATTGGTAGTTATTGAAGCCCCTAGATTAAACACCACCGGCTAGGCCCCGCACTCCACCTTCGGGAAGGTCCTGTGAACCTAAGGCCACACACGGCATTAGGGGGGGGCGGCTTAAGGGTTTGGGGTTTAGGGTTTAGGGTTTAGGGTTTAATTTTGTAGGGTTTGAGGTTGGCAGTGGAAGGCTTAGGGCTCGTATGTGGCTCAGCTTTTGGAGCAAAGTGTTTGGGCATATCTTAGTATAACTATGTATAGTCGCCAAGATAGGACCCTTTTCGGGCATAGCATTATCAACTTTTTGAAGCTTCGATATTGAAAGGCCTCCCAGATTGCTGTACTGGAAGCCTTCTGCTCCTGAATAGTGAACCCACCCACACACCCCACCCACCCACGCACCCAACCCAACCAACCCAACCAACCCAACCAACCCAACCAACCCAACCAATCCAACCAATCCAACCAACCCAACCACGTAGCTACCGACATACAAACATACAAAAAATGGAACATATCCATACCCGAAACCCTAAGCCCTTAGCACTGAAATATTTCATGCGGGCTCGAACCCTTGGGCTCTTAGGTACTACACTGTTCTGTCTATGGAAATCTATGGATTTAATATTTGTCAGCACAGGGCTGCGGGGGTAGACTATAGTATAATCATCAAAAACCCTAATATATAGTATTCCAAAATCTCAGGCCCCCTATCGTATGCACGACAAGCTGACAACCCCCAAAGCCAAAGAGCGCTAAATCCTAAATCCGACCTCCCTCCCCCAGCCTACCTAAACCCTATACCCTAAACCCTAAACCATAGGCCCTAAACCCTAAACCCTAATCCCTAATCCCTAAACCATAGACCCTATTCCATAATCCCTAAACCCGAAACTTAGACCCTAAACCATAGACCCTAAACCCTAAACCCAAAGCCCTAAACCCTAGGTCCTAAGCCCTAAACCCAAAGCCCTAAGCCCTAAACCCTAAACCCAAAGCCCTTAACCCTAAAGCCTGAAAGTCCCAAAACAAAGCCGCGGGGCCAAGAAGCTTCTCAAGGCAAAGCTGTGAGTCGCTAACAGCGAACTCCGCGATCTCCCCCTCTTTCATCCTGGGTTTAGGGTTTAGAGTTTTGGGTTTAGGGTTGATGTCGGCGATCTCCCCCTCTTTCATCCTAAGGGTTCTAGGTTGGCCCTTTAAAGCCTCTGAAAAGTTTTCGTAAATAGGGTCCGATTAAGCCCCATAAGGGAAAATACAAAATGTCCCAACGGCCTACCTAGGGTTGAGGTCGGGTTTCGGCGCTTTAGGGGTTTAGGGTTTAGCTTGAGGGTTTCCTGAGGGGTTATGGTTTAGGGTTTAGTGGTTCAGGTTTTAGTGGTTTAGGGTTTAGGTTTAGGGTTCCTTGAGGGTCTAGGGGTTTAGGGTTGTGGGCTTCAGGTTGTAAGGTTAACTGTAGGGGGAGCTATGATCAATCATAGGTGATGAATCCTTGGGATGTGAATTTCGGGCTTCAGGGTGTAAGAGTTTAGCTGTCCTTGGGGCTTATTAGGGCTTGTTTGGGGTTCTGGGGGTTTTGGGTGTTGTTTATCCTGGGCTTTGAGTTGAAGAATTTGGGGCTGATAGGGTTATATGGGAGTTTTCGAAATTGGGGGACCCCGAAATAGTACGCTAAATAGTAGGATCCTTATTATATAGGGCCCACAACGCGGTACCACTAATTTTCGGAAACTCCCCTATAAACCGTCCCCTAAAGTAAAGTTGAGGCTACGGAGCTTGGAGTTCGGTGGTCGTCTCGAAGGGTTGGGGCTTGGGGCTTGGCTTTCCCAGAGACTCCCAAATCCCTTTATAGAGGGTTTCTTAAAAAGGGATCTATAAGGGCTCTATATAGAGGGTTTCTGAAAAGGGATCTATAAGGGCTCTATAAGGAATATACCTTAAATTATAGTAGGATCTCTACTATGATTGAAAGTATATTCCTTGATTAAGGGGCTTTAGAGCCTTTGAGTTGGTGGCCTCGCAGGTTGCAAGAAACGGCTTTGCCACACACTGTGTATGACTCGGATGCCCAGTAACCTAGGAATAAAAAAGGGCTCCCTTTTTGGTATTGTGTAACTTTCTAAGAAACCTAGGACTACAAAAAGGGAATACGGGTACTACTGGGCATCCTAGATGAGGTTCTTGAGGATTGATTGGGTTGTCCCCTGATCCGATGATGCAAAAGGAGCCCGCTGCTTAGAATGCTGCTTCGGTGAGAACTCTCAGCGCTACTCCTACTAACTATAAGTATTCAGCCCTCGTTCAGCTTGGAGAACGCTTCATTGGTCTTACCCCAACAGCGCAAAAGCAACAAGCAAAACAAACAATACACCCTCGCAGCCTGTTTACCCTGCCAATCCGTCCCAGCAGCGAACACACCGCGCTCTCGAGGGCATCGCACACCTTGCGAAGCGGTCTGCACAGCTCCTAAACCGGAGGGTGAGGCCTAGGCTCTAATCCCTCAGCCCTAAGGTAAAAGCCAGAAAGTTGGAATATGATTATCCTAAGCCCTTTATGGTAAATTATAGGGTATCCTACCCTGAAACCATATTCCAACTTTCTGGAGTTCCCTTTACATGCTTCCGGGTTTCAGAACCACACCCCACAGCCTCCAAACCCTACGTGGGAATCGCCACCCGTGGGGCCTCGACTGTTTCTACATCTTGAGCCCTAAACTTGCAGAAGTGAAAACGGTCTCTAGACCATGTGATCCTGCAGCGACATCGGCGTTCCCTAAACCCGACACCTAAACCCTAAAGCCCCAAACCCATAGCTCTCAAGTCGGATGCTTCTTCTGTCAGCCCATGGAGTGGGACTGGGTATGTATAAGCATGTTGGGGTCTAAATAAGCACCAATAGTCTTCCTAAAGGCTAAGGGCTTTAGGGCTTTCGGCTTAGGGGTTTCCGGGTTTAGGGTTGAGGGTCTCCCTCGAATGTGTGTATATACCATAATTATATATAGAAATATAAACATTATATATATATATATACCTAGATTACAGTGTCCGCCCAAATAGTAGGATTTTTCGTTCAGAGATCTTGAGCAAAAAGCCTGAAGACCTGAAGACCTGCCAACACCCACACCGCTTGAAAGCTCCCTTCGAAACCTCCGTTGTCTTTTAGGGGCTCCCAAAAGCATCTCTGAAAAAACAATGAAAAGGTACCTCTCTATGGGACCAAAAAAGTCATAAACAAGTGCCCAACAAGCTCCCTGCAAACCCACCCAACACACGCCCCTGAGGCTCCGAAAGGCCTCTTGAACTCACCATGGTTGGATAGCTCTCTAAAATAAGGTCTTGTCTAATTAGGATCCTGTTTGTGACGGTGCCCTACTCTTCTGAGGGACCTTAGAGGGACCCCCCGTTTAGAGAACTACTCATTTTGGGTTTAGGGTAACAGGGTGCCGACCTCGCCGACACCAACTCGGAAGCTGAGCGCTGCGTCGGCACACATCTGCGCTCCCCTGGCATCCTTCCCGAAGCAAGGGCGTTTTGGGTCAGGGTTTAGGGGTTGTAGGGCTTTACTGGTTTTAGGGGTTTCGAGTTGTATGTCGGCGTTTTAGGGTTTAGGGCCTTGAGGGGTTAGTGGACTTAGGGTTTACGGGCGGTCCTTGACAGTCACTGCTCTCATCGCAACCAGACGCCCGTCGTCAGCCAGTTGCCAAGAAGCCCAATCCTGAAGCAAACGAAATTGTTTAGGGTTTAGGCCTATAGGGCTTAATTAGGGTTTTGGAATTAAATAAGGTTTAAGGATGAAACACAGCCTCATTCACCTTTTCCCCAGGCTCCCAGCCGACAGGTGCACTAGTCTGGGCCATCCTCAGCTTCTGGGTTCGAAACAGACTACCCAAACCCCGGGAGGATCTAAAAAGTAGATCCCCTAATTTGGGGCCCTATACTACTAAGGGTACTTTATAGGAACCCCCATTAAGGGATCTACTTTTTGGATCCTCCCGGGGGTCTGGGTATGGGTTCTCGATTGCCCTCGATTGCTCCTGGCCCCTGTACCTCGGAAAACCAATAGTCTGCTTACAGTCTTCAAAAAAACAGCTGAAACACGAATCCAAGGGTCAAAGGGGGGACCCTTAATAAGGACCCCTAGGTCCTAGGTATATACCCATAATACAGCCATTATCTACCCATAATATAGCCCATTATAGGGTAGGCGTCCCCATTAAGGGTCCCTCCTTTGCCCCTTTGAACGAAAAGAGCACACAAAGATGTAAACTGAGTCCGCTCAGCTGCAGCTGAGCACGAGGAGCCTAAGGGTGTGGGTCCAAAGGGGTGCACCTGCCCACCCCGATACAACGCCGAACCCTAAACCCTAAAGCCTAATTCTGACTTGCACGGCGGCTCAAGCCGCACCATTCAGGGGTTCCCTAAACCCTACACGATGCCCAATCCTTAAAAGGTTTCGGGTACTGCATCGTCTTCCCCATCTTTGGCTTACGGGTCAATACATGCCAGAGCTCCAACCGTTCCAGAAAACGGGGGGCTGAGGCGGCTTAGGGTTGAGGGAACAGAATTTGCCTTGGGGCCTTAGGCAGGAACTTTGTGTGAACCACGGCAGGGAATCTGTTGGTGATTCTTGCTCTTGTATCATTCTGCTTCTTGTGTGCGACCTGTGCGCAACCCTGTCCGACTGTCCGACGAAGCACTTTCAATGTTCACCAACACCCCTGAAACCTTAACCCCAAACCATAAACACTGAAGCGCGAAACCCTAAACCGACAACCCTAGACCCTAGACCTGGAACCGTTTGCGTCCAAACAGAAACACACACAACCTTCCTTCGCCCTTGAGCCTTAATCCCTAAGACCCCAAAGCCTAGGTCCTGGGACCATGAGCGGGGCCCAAGCATAGCACAGAAGCAAGGGAGTTTTGGGGCTTAGAGTGCGGGTACGGAAATATACTTCCTTATCCTGAAGCCCAATAAGGTAGGGATGTCGTTGCAAAATGCCTATGCTTGGGTCCGTTTCCCAGACCCCCGGGAGGATCCAAAAAGTAGATCCCTTAATGGGGGTTCCTATAAAGTACCCTTAGTAGTATAGGGCCCCAAATTAGGGGATCTACTTTCTAGATCCTCTCGGGGGTCTGGGTTTGGGGCCGTAGTGACACTTCTCTACAACCTCAAAGCCGGGATTCGTCCCGGCATCGGAGAGATCGCTTCTGGACGCTACCGTCCTTCCCCACTTGGGGTGCTTGCAGACGATATGGGCTCTATATTGCAGCTTCTGCAAGGGATGCTACAATGTGGGGGGACTCAGGGTTGTCATTTTAGGGTTTAAGCACCCTATAACCCAAACCCCTAAACCCGAAAATGTTGGTGCCAGGGTCGAGGAAGCAGGGACTTCAGGTAGAGGGTCTGGAGGTCTCATGGAACTAAGCTAAGTAGCTGAATGTCAAGCCACAAGTGCTCTAAGTCTTGTGCGGCCGTCCCTGTCATGACCCTCCTTCGGAGCTACCCTGATCCTACGGGCATCGCCAATCTTACACTCGGCTTGATGCACGGTAGAGTTTTCGTTGCCAATTAGTCTCCCTGCATATCCCTTCAGTGACTCAGCAAAACCAAGTCAAGAACATCAACTTCGGTTTTAGTCAGGTTCGACCGAGGGATGAGGGGCCCGGACATACACGTACTGCAGCTTCAAAAGCATAGTTGCTTCCTAAAGGCTTTTTTACCAGGATATTGTGGGCATGGTACGTCATCTCTTAGGCAGGGTTCTGCTTGGAATTGATATTCTGCAGTTTGGAGGTCAAGGGGCTGGGCAGAGCCTATACCCATTTTCCTGTGTCTTATCATTCCTATTGACACACACCTAAACCCTAAACCCTGAACCCTAAACCGCAATACCAAGCCCTAGACCCTGAACATAACCTAAACTGCAAACCCTAAACCCCAATATCGAACGACTGCCCGGACCTTTTCAAACGAGATGTCCGAGACTTCGATAAACTCTCGAAGCTCGAGCTCGAGGATCCAGGAAGCATCGCCTGCTTTTTTTGTGCTTAGGGCTTTACGATTTGAAGTACTTTTTGTGCTTAGGGCTTTACGCGTTTTAAGTAATTTGGAGTTTAGGGTTGTTGAGTGGTTTAGTACTTTGGGGTTTAGGGCTTTGGGGTTTTAGTTGTTGCTTTTGCGGTTTGGCATGTTCTTGGTGCCTGTAGGTGGTACAAGGACTTTTGCCTTGTAGATAGGATCGAAGTTTTCGTGTTGTTCCTGTAGGGTTGACTTGGCGTTTGTGGAGTGTTGGAAGGGTTAGACAGGGTAGGAGGCGGCGTTGTGGCCTTTTGGTGTGTAAACAAGGGCTTTGGGACGTGTGGCCACAGGCATACTCTAAACGTATGGGTTTGGAGTTTAGGGACAACTGTTGCAGTTTCCGAGTTCCTAACCTGCTCACCAACATACCGATTTAAATGCCCAGCAGTAGAGTTTCCGGCACCAAGAACCATCAGGGAAATTCCAGCGATTCGGTTCTTGTTGGAAACCGAAGTCAGAACAGGGCCTTGGGATAGGTTATTGTGTAAATACAGTTAGGAACGCTGACAAGGAACAATGTTTGAACTCATGATCATTCAGGCCCCTGCATTGTAGAACCTGAAAAGCATTCCCTAAAATAACCCTTGTCCATCCGAAGATCTCTCAGCACTGAGGGCTCGAAAAGCCAGAAGGTGTAGGCTTTATTGCTTGGGACTTGGGGTTCGGGGTTTAGCCGGTTTGGGTTTAGGGTTTAGGGTTTAGGGTTTAGGCAACGAGGATGAAACCCCAAACCCAACGCATGAAACCAAGCCTCAAAGCCCCAGCTCACGAAACCCTAAACCTAAACAAACCCCCTAAACCCTAAACCCCCTAAACCCTGGACCCCCTAAACCATAAACCAACACATCTGGGACCTCCGTCGAGCCCCGAGATCCTAAAATAATCACAACGCCACAATGCAGGGTCCAGGGTTTAGGTTTGTGTTTGAAAGTGTGGGGGACCTGGCTCTCTGCTGCGGGGGCTTGGGGTTTAGGGCCAGTGGACGGTCCAAGCTGGCTGACTTCTGCGCCCCTCCAAAAAGTTGAACTTTTAGCCTCCTTGTTATAGTTCATAGAGAAACCCAAAAAGTTAAAGTCCTAAGAGCCAACCAGAAAAACCAAGTTAGGGTGGGGAAATCCGAAGATGTGGAAGTGCATGTGGTGCAGTGCTTGGGGGTCAATGCCGCCTGATTTCTGAGTACGCCTTTTCAGTGCGGGGCCTGGCTTTTCAGTGATAGAGGGCTTGGGTTTCTCGTGCTGGCGGCCAAATGCGCACAGGATTGAGGCTCAAGCAATGCGTTTTGGATCTGGCTTTTGGAATCTGAAGTGGAGGTACAGAGGCACCGAGGGACTGCTGCCGCTCGGCTGGATCAATTTACAAGCATCCCTGGCAGGGTCATGCCTCGCTAGGGTCCATTTAACTGCAACTCACCGGGTGTGGAGACACACATGCCCGATTTTAAAAGAATGACGTGCGCTCAGGTTTGTACAATTACAAATGGTACCCACAGCACACTGACAGACACGAACACGAGGCGCCCCCAGCTTCAAAGGACCACGTAAAGGTTCATGGGACTTAGCAACTAGGGTTATAAGCAAGGCAACTGGCGTTATGTAGTGGAATGGTAACCCCAGCTAAGGTACTTGTGACTTCGGGGCTGAGTATCCTAGCGTAGAAAAGCTAACCGTTTCAAAAATGTTGGGATCATATGAATACCAAAGGTTAAAGGCTACCTACGCAGCTACCAAGATTACTGTACCAACTAAGTCCCATGAACCTCCAAGCAACAATGGGAGCTGCCCCTTCTTGAAATCTCTTTTGAATCTGTCAGTGGCGGCATAAAAAGACAGTGTAAAAGGCTGAGGGGGACACTGCTAAACAAGCGAGCTCAAGAACACATGACAACAAGCTCTTGTACTTGCCTCCTCCTAATCATGGCACTTCCGAAGCAACAAGATCAGCATGGCTGACAATGCTTCGGAAGCACAGGCTGGCAAATGGTTTGGAAGACCGTGGCAAGAATACCCCTGACCCGTCTGCGGCAGCACAGCCTATGTCTGTTTGTATGTTTATGTATGTTTCGAGCCTATGAAGTAGCACATCCCGGGAATCTACTTGGCTAGCTCTTGCGTCGCGAAGGCAGGTGGCTTATGATGATCATGAGTGCTGCCATCGCAAGCGGCTGGGGCTCTTGTTTCGAGGTCTGCATTGGAACGAATTGAATCTTTAATGATGGCACGGACGCGTGCTTTACGAAATGGAACTGGAGGATTAGTCACCACTGATAAGATACCAGAGCCAGGACACTGGCGCGAACACACCAGCTGCGTCGGGATCTTCATCACCCTCGCCACCAGCCTCTTTTGTCTCAACCTTGCTGCTGCTGTCCATCAACTGAAACTGCTCGGCGACGTATCGCTTATCCTTCACGCACCGTTCCAGCATGCCTTGGGCAACTGACTTACAGGCATGATCACTATTCTGTCCTCGCACCCGTAGATAGCCATGTCAAAGGCTAACATCTATGATATCGTACGAAACACCAAAAGGTTCCTCAACTGAAACCAAGATGCCAGGATAGTTTTGCAGCTTTGTGAGGAAACGCTCAAGGTCTGCCACATGGGCATCGTGCCTTGCTTACTCTACTTCCTCAAAAGCCGATAGTTTGTCTTAGGGGCTGAGTAACCTAGCCCAAAACAGGTTAACCTTTTGCAATTATGGTAGGATTACATAAACCCCGAAAGTTTAAAGGGTTACCTACTCAGCTACTACGGTTGATGATATAAATCCTGCATTACCCATAATAAGGAATATACCACACTTCCCATAGTTTCGGGTCTTTGAATCTAAAGGCCTCAACCCTGGAACCCGAGAGTCGCTACTCGCAGAGTCTAACGCCTAAAAAACCCGAAAACGCAAGCTTACAGTTTTTTTTTTTCGGCTTTACGGTTTGTTTAAGTTCATGTTCAAACTGGGTTTGAGGTTTAGGGTTTAGGGTAACAGAAAGAGCTTCTTCGACACCTACGCCAAAGGTGCGACCGCCAAACCCCTTAATTCAGCAATATACCTTAAATCAGTTGTAGATCTAGATCCCTTTCAGGAACCCTTAAAGGAGCCCTTCAAGGGTCTATTGCTTAATTAAAGGGTTTTGGAGTTTTAAGGCAAAGGTGCGACGCCCAATCTGGAGCGACGGGCGCATCTTTGAAGACTTCGGTTCGGTCTTCCTCCCAGGAGTCCTGCTTACAGGGCTTGCTTTGTTGTTGTTTTAATGGTTCTTTTCCAACTGTACAGCTAGAATTTCTTATCAGGAGGAGTCCTGCTTATATACGAGGTTTCGGGTTTTGGGTTTGGGGGTTTTGGGGGTTTTGGGGCTTTGGGGTTCGGGGGTTTAGGGTTTAGGGCTTTACGGCTTTAGGGTTTGAGGCTTGGATTTTGGAGTTCTTGCGAAGCTACGGCTTAGGTTTAGGGTCCTTGCTTAGGAGCCTGGTTTAACACTTCATAGACTTGTTATGGTAAATAAGGCTGACAGCCTAACCCTTTCAGCCCTGCTTTCCTTGTCATGGTATCTTCTCACAAGCCCAGCCTAAACCCTAAACCCTAAACCCCAGACTTTGTTCGCATCAGGTCCTGTCTCGTCCAGGCATCAACCTGAGAATCCCAGTTCTCCTCAACAGGGCTTACTTGGGGGGTCGGGGGCCTTTGTAACTGGCTATTTTAGGGACTTATAAGTACCATAGCCCCAATTAGGGTCCCTTTTAGGGTACTTATAAGTCTACTTACTACCTACTAACTAAGTCCCCCGACCCTCCAAGTAGGGCTTTCGCAGTAGAGCTTTGGGGTTTAGGGGTTTTAGGCGTTCTTGGGGTCTGGGGCTTGGGCCTTCGGGCTTTAGGGGTGTAGGGGCTTGTGGGTTGGGGTCTCCTCCTCCGAGCTCAACGGCTTTATCGCCGAAATGCTCTCATCCTCCATGGACAAGGCCATGGTGAGCGACCCTCTAGTAAATCCTGAACCTTATAAACCCTATGAACTCCTAAACCTTAAACCCTATGAACTCTTAAACCCCTAAAGCCCTAAGCTGTGGCTTCGCCTGTGCTCGGGGCTAAGAAGCCAAAACTGCGGCAAGAATCAAAGCCGACGAAGCGGAAAGATATGCAGCGGCAGCCTAAACCCTAAACTCCTAAACCCCAAACCCTATAAACCCTAAACTCGAAACCCTAAACCCGAAACCGTTTCATCCCAATCAGTTTAGAAAGCCCATTGAACCACAAGATGAGGAGCAAAGGACGGTTTAAGACTCTCGTCCTATTCGTGCTGCCCTTGTGGGAAACTTTGTGTAAAGTCATACTAGTCTAAGAATGCAACCAAACTGAACTTTCCAAAAATCGCACCATAGCCTTAACCCTAGACCCTAAACCCCAATAAACCTTAAAGCCTAAACCCCAAACCCCTTGAGACTAAATCCTGAAGGTGGTGCAGATCCGGCGCCTTCCACAGCTGCCGGCAGCAGCTGACTCGGCGCCCCCTGGCGCAGCAAGGCGGCGTCCACGAGGACCTCTTTGGTTGTTGGGAATATGGGGTCTGGGTCTTTAGGGATTAGGGTTTAGGGTTACCAGGGTTTAGGGTTTAGAGGTTTTTGGTTTAGGGTTTTGGGGGGTTGCGGCGTGAGGCTTTTGTGGTCTATGTCTCTGGGCTGAAGGAGTTGGGCTTTTGGATGGGTTTGGGTTGTACCTCGGCCCCAGACTCTAAACCCGCTAAGGTAGGAACCTGTTTAAGAAACCTTGGGCCTTTATTAGGGCTCTGTAAAGGTTCCTTTGAAGAGTACTCAAAGGGTTTTGTTGGGGGGGTTGATGTAGGAACCTGATTAAGAACTTTAAGAAACCTTGGACCTTTATTAGGTCTCTTATTTCGGATCCCATTGTATTGGGGTTATGGCGCCAGGGTTTCGTAATCGGTTCCTACATTACTGTGGCCCTCAACTACCTCTTGATGAGGAACGGGACCCCTGTCAGGGATACTTTAGGGGCTTCGTAATTAGAATAGGGTTTTGGGGCCTGTTTTACTATAGCTATAATAAGGAACCCCCAATATAGCATTGGTAATTATTTAAGCCCCTACACTACTACTTGCGGGATCCTGGCGGGGCTTAAAGCTTTGGCTTGAGGGTTCAGTTCGGAGGTCTGAGTGGCTGGAGCCTTCGATCCTGCGTCTTCATACTCCGGCCTCGCAATGTTCACCGCGGCGCATGGACAAGAGCGCCTTGCAAAGCTTTCATAAGGCTCAGGGAGTACATGAAGTGTGGTTCACGCTTCGGTAAGGGCTCGATAAAGAAGTACGCGCCTCTACCCTCCACGGCTGAGGCAGAGGGCTCACAAAGGGTAAAAGGGTGCCGGGCTTAGTACAAGAAAGGATGATGACAAGCCTAGAAACCCAAAGGGTCCAAGTATCATTATGGTATATACTTAGCGCCCCAAAATACCCTATAAGCATGTAATGATACTTGGACCCTTTGGGAAGATAAAAAAGCCTAAACAGGGAGGATCCCTGGTCTACTGGGTTTAGGGTCTAGGGCTTTAGGGTTTAGGGTTGACAGGCTTGGAGTGCACCAACAAATGTGCTCTAGCCCGAATTTCTTCAAACTCTGGCACAAAGTAGTGACACACAACACGAAATCCCAAAGATCCTGCAAAACCTACTCTTTCAAGAACTTGTATAAGGACTCATAATTTCAATAGACTGGCAGGTTATTCGGATTAAACCCTCAACCCAAAACCCTACACTATTCGGGTTAAGGTATACCGTAGCTTGAAATCTGAAAGCGTGAGAGGCTGAGTTCAGAGGCTCAAGATCTGGCGCCGTTTGGCGCTCGGGGTTTTAAGATCCACGGCTAGGGTGGACGGTCAAGGTAGTTACTACGGTTGATGATATAAATCCTGCATTACCTTAAGGACCCTAAACTATGGGAATTATGGCATATTCCTTATTATGGGTCATGCAGGATTTATATCATCAACCGTAGTAGCGTTTAGGGTGTAGGGTTAGGGTCCTTAGGGTTTCGGCTTAAAGGGTTTAGGGTTTAGGGCTTAACAGCCATGGTTTAGGAGAGAGGGTTAGGGTTTAGGGTTCGGGGGTTTAGGTTTGCGACCCTGAACGTTGGTTTGGGAAAAAAGGTCTCGGAATGCTTGGAATCGCGGGCATGCGGTTTGAGTGCAGAGGGAGCCTCGGCAAACGAAGCACGCCGGAGTTTCAGAAAAGAGGACCACCAACCAGGAACGAAAGGCTAGGACCCTAAACCCTGCCTAAACCCCAAGTATCTAAGAACCGCCCCATTTTCTGTGAAGACCCCCCCACCCTCTTCCTATAAAACCCAAACACCGGCCTTATGAGCCTCTTCCTACAAAACCCAAAACTGAAGGGCTGAGCCCCCTAATCCCAAAAAAGTTAGAGGGTTAGGGTTTAGGGTTGAGGGTTTAGGGTTTAGAGTTAACCCTGTGCAATTTGGTAGACTTATGTAGATGTAAGACGCAAAAAGTTAAAGGATACCTATGTTACCTACTCAGCTGCCTCTGAAACCTGAACCTGAATCCTAAGCCCAAGTCCTGAATCCGAAACTCTGAACCCTAAACCCGACTGGCCGCAGACGCCGCTTCAGCGAGGTTGAGGACCCGGCTCGGCTGTTGGAGCTTGACTTCATCGGCGTGTCGATCCCGCCCCCCCCCCTCCCCCCCTCCTGGTGGTCTCGCGACTCGGGTTTCGAGTTTAGGACTTTTGGGTTTAGGGGTTCAGGGGTTTAGGGTTTAGGGCTTCGGGTATTGAGCGCGAACTGCCAGCGGAAGAATCGGGAGTACGAGTCGACGACGCAGGCCGTGGGCATAAAGTCCCTCGATCATGTGGGCTTCGGGAAACATCGTTCGTAGCATTCCACCCACCGAACGACAGGGAGGACACGGTACAGAAAGGCGGCTATACATTGGGTACTGACCCCCCTGCTATTAAGGTCCTAATATATCTATATTATGAATACTATCCAACTGAACAGTTACTGCGTGGGGCAGTACCCGAGCCTTTCAAGACTTAGCAGCCCAGCCAGCAGCTGATAAACTCGTTGACCGGAAGCGGCAACTGCTCCAAAGGGATACCATGTGCAACAAGTCTACGTGCCCAAGCTCCATACTCCCGCTTCGGCAGCCTTTGCCTGGAGATGATCAACTTGAAACCCGGCTTAGCATGCCCGATGTTGCAAGCACCACGGAGCGCCGAGGAAGCGACGAACCGTGGCGGGTCTCCCGCCGCCCATATGTTTGGCATGGCCTTCACCAAATCCTTTGGCGCCCGCGACACGTTTCAAGGCAGTTGGGCGAATTCGGTGGAGCATCCGCTTGCAAATAGGCCTGTTGGGCATTTTCAAGCAGCATAAACTTCAAAAAAATCTTGAGAGACAAGCCCTCATGCAGGCCGTATTGAACCCCTGAAAAGAGCTTCATACAGTTCTTGCATGTTCTGACAAAGCCTCACCAATTAAGCAAATAATGTCATCGTAAACAAAATTCCCGAACTCCTTGCAACCCTAAACGCCATAACGCCATTGCACAGCTCTATGTCACTCTACGAATCCGGAGTTGAGAACCCCTCGACCGCTCCGTTAATTCATCTTGCACTGCCTTGTCCATGAGCTTCCAGCCTTCCTTCCCGGGCTTAGAGCACTTTTGGGTCAGAGGGTTCAGGGTTTAGGACACAGGGCTTAGGGATAGGGATTTTAGGGCTTAGGCTTTAGGGGCTTAGGGTTTTTAGGGCTTTGGTTTAGGGTTTAGGGTTTAGGGGTTTTAGGGTTTAAGATGTGGGCCCTGGAGGGCCTAAGCTCTGGGCCCCAGACCCAGCGTCCTGGGTTTGCAAAAAAGAAAGATCTCTGGCTTAGGGTTTAGGGTTTAGGGTTTAGGGTCTAGGGTTTAGGGTTTAGGGTTTAGGGTTAGGGTTTAGGGTTTAGGGTTTAGGGTTTAGGGTTTAGGCACTTGCCAAGGTAGAGGGTGCAAACCCAGACTTCTCGATTTTCGAGTCCGAGCACGATACTCTAAACTCTGAACCATCCTACACCCTATAGCCTGACAATGGAAGCCGCAAACCGAGACTCCAGCCATTCGTTCGCAGAACCCTGTGATTGAGAAACAATGGGTATTGAGTCGTCCATTTTGTTATTATAGGGCCTGAGTGTCGTAATCAGGTTCCTACACTACCTAGGGCAGAATATAAAAACCCAGTGCAATCAAACATAGAGCTCATAAGCAAAGAGGGCATTGGCTTCCCTCTCGGGGACATACTCATTAAGTACTACGTCCCCTAGAGGATGTTCCAGGAACTTTTTGCCTGTGTATAGTTCTACTAGACTCTGCCCGAAACCTTGAACCTTACACCCTAAATGCCCTGCTGGGGATTCAGCGTGCAACCTGGGAACGGTAGTTCAACAGACTACGCCTGAGAGTCTAAAAGATGGCACACTTTGCGTCCTTCGGTTAAGCGAAGTAGGTTTAGAGAGCCTACCTTTTCTGGACGGGTTTAGGGTTGACGAGTATTAGGGCTTGGGGTTTACTGTAGGATGCTTTCTTCGAGGGTTTAGGGTGCGCGATTCATGGCTACAGGGTGCTAACCCTACACTCTAAACCAATGTGATCTATCACCCTTAGGTTCCATACACCCATATATAGAGATACATGGTGCCGCGTCGCCGCGTCGCAGGCCCCCCGCCCCAGCACCCCCAAGCCAGGCCTGTCGCCTTGGCAAACGGGTGACAGGGAACCACAGGGGCAGGGTGGGGAAGGATAACCCACACAGGGAACCACAGGGCCCCTTCCCCTTCCCCTCCCTTCGACACACAAATGACAATGATGGGGATGATTTTGTGCACAATGATGTTGATGTGCTATTCGCGGTCTGGCTGTTGGTGGTACCTTTGCTCTGATGTTGCTCTGGGCTTCGGCACCGCATGTTCATTGCTTTATTTCGTTGAAAATCGTGCTTGGCTTGTGATGCTCTTGCGAAAACTGTATCGACCGTTGTCATTCCAAGCCAAGTTTTGGTTGGGTTCATTAAAAGTAAGCTTGTGAATGATTTCATTCGGGACTCTGGAGCAAGGGACCGGAGGAGAGTGCGGATGGGGATCATGACCACCATCTTCGTCATCATCATCACCATCATATGCATCACTACCATTGGCTTTGGAGCTCAGGGCAGGTCAGAGTTTAGAGAATTGTGTCACATCCTAAGGTCCAAACCCCTAGCAACCGGACGCCCAACCAGCAATAGCCATGGAAGGGGGTGCAGCTTACCGCAAACACAGGGGGAAGGGCAGGGGGGAACCCACACTACAGGGGGGGGGACGGGGGACACCATGGGGTGGGGGGCCCAGGAGCGCTGCACCATACATGGGCCCCAAAGTACCCAAATGGGGACTACATTGAGGCCAATGTATATACTATATAAGTACATGGACCCTTAGAGTCATCCCGAAAAAGACCAGTTCACCCTTTCACATGGCATCCGCTAGCCTTTAGATGCAGTGCCCCAAAGGGGGGGTCCGCAGCGTAGCCCATAGAATGGTAGGCTACCTTTCTTAGATGGTTTAGAGTTGCTCTTTAAGGATTACTTTAGGGTGCTTCTTGGATGGGTTTCGTGCTTGTTAGTCTTGGCCCCCTTTTTGTGTTGAAGGTAGCGACTGAACCCTCGCCTGCTCACGTATGACATCACGATGTAGACAACAAGAAAGCCGCCGCCTCAGTTTGGACCGCTGCTCCCCGAAACCCTCAATTGCCTCAACCCTAAACCAGCTAAACCCCAAACCCCTAAACCTTCGGGTCCTTGATGCCGAACTCGAAACGATGCGAGCTCTCCGGCGGCGGCATGTCCTCTGCCGTCTGAGCTTCGTTGCTTCAGGACTTAATTAAGATTTGACGCTCCGGAGCTTCGCTGAACCCTAAACACTACCAGGACCCCCCCCACCCGAAGTGCAATTTTACAACAACCTTCATGGTCCTTAAAAGTTTGTATTTAGGGTATATTAGAGGGTAGTTGGGGGGTCTAGATAAGCCCCAGACCCCGAATCAAGAAGCGATCTACAAAACCTTCCTGTTTTTAGGGTTCCCTATTATGACTTCCAGTCCTAAGACATGTATAACTTCTGCATTGTATGTTCCATAAGCCCTAAACCCCGGCCTGAGCCTCAGCTTTGAAGCTAAATTTGCTACATGGACCATGGACTGGAAGGTCGAGGGGTTCAGGGCTCAGGCTACTACAATCAATTGAAACAAACTATGATATCGTTTAGGAGCCTGGGAACCATGTATATAGAACCCTGGCTATTGCAACTAGTCTGAGAAGTTTCTGGCTCCAGATACGGCAGCTTCCATGCCATTTAAGCATCTAGACGAAAATGTCGACGAAACGAAAAACAGGACCAGTAATCCAAAACCGTTTGGTATCGAAACTTGAGACGAAGACCACAAACCTTTCCACCTGATCCTGAAATGAAGCCCAAGCCGTACACCCCAAAAAAACGCGAAGCCCAACACCCTAACAACCCCTACCCTACCCAGTAAAACCCCAAAGCCGTATACACTAAATCAGAAACCTCCAAACCCTAAACCCCAAACTCCCCAAACCCACAATCCGAACAGCCCCCCCCCCACATCCCTTGTAGGGCTTCGGGTCTATGCGCCTTACAGCCAAGGTTTTTGTATGTTGGACCTACGGAAACCCTTAACGTACATTGACTGCTTAGGGCGTTTGCTTTAGAATGCCGGGTTCAGTTTAGGAGTTTGGGGTTAAGGGTCGCTAAAAACTTAAGATACTCAGCATAAACATCCCAGAGTCACTAGACCACCTATTACATCCCTTATGCTGTGCGCAGATGCAACGTCGAGGGCAGAGGCTGATGGTTGATGCTTGTTCAGAACTCACTGAGACTGGGATCCTCAGTAGCCTAAGAACAAAGAGGGCCCTCTTTTCAGTGTTGGGTAGTTGAATACAGAGCCTAAGACCACAAACACAAGGTTTAGGGTTTAGGGTTTAGAGTTTAGGGGTTAGGGTTTAGGGATCCACTGGAAGACCCGTAGCCTCCAAAGCCCCATAAATAGGAAATATACCTCAAGTCATATTAGGGATCCTATTATGATTAGTTCCTTACTGTGCTGAGCGGTCTTAGGGTGTGGACACCGTTGAGGTTTAGGGCGTAGGGTTTAGGAGTTTAGGGTTTGGGATTTAGGGTGAGTGTAGGGTTGAGTCACAACGGATACTGCAAGTAGAGGTCAAGGCTTTCAGCACAGGACTTGGGGGTTAGTGCGCTGCTGTTTCAGTATGTAGGATTTCGGCATTACAGTTGGGGATGCCCAGATCTCAGAATCGAGACCATAAAACCGGAAACGACAATGCTTTGAAGTCGAGTGCTGGACCAGATGTTCTTTCGTCAACCCTAGTTAAACCCCCAAACCCCAGCTCTAAACCCTAAAACCCTAGGTAAACCCTAAACCCCAACTCTAAAGCCTAAACCCCAACTCTAAACCCTAAAACCCAACTCTAAACCCTAAAACCGGTCCTCAATGACGTGCTCGAGATCCTGCCGCTCCCAAAGCCTCTGGGCAGCTTCTTCACCACCAATCAAACCTAAACCCCCGAACGCTACATTCCAAGGGTAAAAGGAGGGACCCTTAATAAGGACCCCTAGGTATATACCCTTAATATAGCTGTTATATACCCATCATATAGCCCATTGTAGGGTAGGGGTCCCCATTAAGGGTCCCTCCTTTTCCCCTTTGATACATGAAGAAGCGAAACCGCAAACTCCACCTGCTCTCTAAACCCTATACCCAAGCTGAACTATAGATTAAGCCTTCAGAAACCTACTTTTTGTGGGTTCGCATTATTAATCTAACTATGGATTTCATAGGGACCCCACAAAAAAGTAGGTTTTGGTAGGTTAAGGTAGACTATAAACCTTCCGAAACCTTAAACCCCACCTGAGCCCTAAACCCAACGTCACAAAGCCACGTGCTAAGGTACTCCACTTTCTGAACACACCATTCTTCTTCGGGTTAATGATACGGTGTAGCGTTTGCCTTCGAGGGACTGAAATATGCCAACCTTATGCAATGTAGAGCCCTAGCTAAATTTGTCGCTCCCGCGCAATTGTTGTAATCCAGGAGGAAGGAAGAGGTCAGAGTCAGTCTATTCACCACAGGTACGTGCATTGTACTCCGGATGAACAAATTTGATACCTGATATCAATCTGAATGCCATCAACCAATGGCTCTACATCCTAAGCCTAGCGCGATGCTTACAAGCCGCCTGACCCTACAACTTCTGCCCTCACTCCTAAACCCTCAAAATTCTCAATCTTGTGCCAACAAGCCCTAATAACTCCAAACCCTAAACCCCTGAACCCTAAAACCTTAAACCCGAAGTCCCTAAACCCTTAAAGCTAATGCAAACGGCCCAAGACAGCTCGAAGCCCCGAATCCCGAAGCCCTGAAACCGAACTCTCCACATCGACTCTGGATTCAGGGATACTATGACTACAACTTTCATAAATTAAATATTCAATATTATTGCTTTCGTTAGCAATGTTGTCTTTGCTGCTATCTTTATATGTATCCTTGTTTTTGAGCACTGTGACTACTACGACGACTACTACTACTACGACTACTACGACTGCTACTGCTACTACTGCCACTACTGCAACTATTACTCTTCTTATCGCAGTTCTTTGACTGTCAGCATTACGGTAGGGGTTGAATGTTAAATTACTGTTATTCCAGATCTGATTGGTTTCTGTATGAATATTATTGTTCTTCTGGACATTAGTAATTTGTCTTGCTATTATAGTGCTTACAAACCCGAGTAGCCTTATACCAGATCCTATACTTAATTGTACTGGCTTGTATAACCACCCGTATCATCGCTATATTATATAGCAGCAGTAATAGTAGTGGTATGGACCGTGTGGAGACCGGGGTGACAGCACAACTCGAGAAGACCCTCGGAAGGCTTGCAGCCATCAACAACCAACAGCTGGAACAACAGCGCACCGTTGAGGCAATCCAGGTGGAGAAGTACTCGGTCAATGCTCGCCTGCAGGCCCTGGAAAACAAGGTGCAAGTCCTCCTGGCACTGTAAGGCAGGATAGCATAGCCACGGCGTGCTCCAGGTACAAATGCCTGTTCCGTGCATATGTCGAGACGCAGGTCCTTCACCATTTGCTTGACTTTGTTGAGCGTCTCTTCTGCTGGCGAATCGTCGTCCCAGCCTCCCATGATCAAGGCTGCCTGCCTCTGTGTCGGCGGTGCTGGCCGTCCCCGTGGTGGCAGTGGTAGTGCTACTGCTAGTGTAGGTGCTGCAGGAGTAGCGCAGGCAGTCAGAAGTTTGAGATAACAAGGAACCGAACTTTGAGCAAAACGACCATGAGTACTGAAAGCCCCAAGATACCGCCATAAACAAAAGCGGCCTGAATGACAAATACTAGTAACTTACTAGTAGCTGATATCCGCCCACAGCCCTACTCACACACGACGGTCTACTAATCATTCCGTCCGTTGCTTCAACTTTGTTACCGCTATACACACCTCCTTAGGATGGCTTCGGCCCCCATAGTACTCCTCCGGGGGCCCTTACAGTATCTTATAGTATCCTTACAGAACCCTCATAGTATCCTTAAGGAACCCTAAGCCCTAAACCCCGTATCCGATCCAGATGCGGCCTGGAGGCACGTTGCCTTGGCCAGGCCGGCGCAAGGAGCAGCGCAGGAGGCAGACTTGGCCTATGACTGGCCTCGGAGAACCGTGCAGGGTCTCTCAAGAAGGGCGTAGTTGGAGCCGTATGAGAGCGCTATGCGGGTGTATCATGGTTTATCAAGGCTTTATAGGGCGGTAGGGTCTCTCAAGAAGGGCGTGACAGCATCTTATAATAAGCCCTAAACGGCCCCACACCCTAAACCGTAATTCGGCGTTTACGATGTGTTCAGGCAGGTTATAGAATTTCTGACTTTACGGTGTGTAGGACTTGTTGGTCTTCGGAGCAAATCCGCTTCGCAGGTTTGGGCTTTGGGGGTTTCGGGTGTGAAGGGCTTTTTGTTGTGGGCTCCTTTACAGTAGAAGCCAGAAAGTTGGAATATCATTATCGTAACCCCTTTAAGGTAAATTATAGGGGATCCTACCATTAATCCATATTCCAATTTTCTGGAGTTCCCTTTAAGGGACCTATAGAGGGCTCCTTTCAGGGCTCCTTCATGGGATCGTAGGCTGTGGCACTTTGAAAATGGCTCGGCTCTGGAGCTTCTGGGCGTTCAGGGTTTATGGTTTTTAGGGTTTATGGTTTAGGGTTTAGGGTTTCGGGTTTAAGGTTTAGGGTTTAGGGTTTAGGGTTTAAGGTTTAGGGTTTAGGGTTTAGGGTTGGGGGTTGAGGGTTTGGGGCTTCGGGTGTAGAGTCTCAGGGCTTTTAGGGTTTACGGCACGTGGGCGTTACGATTTAGGGTCCATAAGACTAAAGGGTTTCGGGTGGCTTTGATAACAAGACATGGATCCTTTCCGACTTCATCGTAAAACCCTAACCCTACGGGAGCAAGTACCTGATAATCAAAACAATCCCCCAGTAATTACTCGCCAACATTACTATTATCCTGAACCTAAGTAACAACTATCGGGTCCTTGGGACCCTCAGGTAACGTTTTAAATTATAAGCCTAAAGCCACAAGCCCCGCGACAACCCCAAAGTCCAAATCCTTGAATCCGTGGCTTCTTGGGAGAGGTCTAGCGATAGGCCCCGAAGCAGTTCCTTTCTGGGCTTACCTTATAGGATTCTAAACATGAACCCCCAAAAGGAACTGCGTTGGGGCCTTTGGGTAGCCCGGCCTTCG